CAACCACAATCATATACTACATGACAGATAAATAACATTAAATATCAAACTTGCAAGCTTCGCCATTTCAATAATTTTATTGTCAACCTTGTTCGTTTTCTACATTGAGTACCAATAAAGTTTTAAATATCAAATTTATAATTACAAGCTTCGCCATTTCAATATTTTTATTGCCAATCTTGTTATTTTTTCTACATTGAGTACCAATAAAGGTTTACATCTCGTTGGCATTTTCATAGATGTGGTCGTTTTGAGTTTCTTGGTCATCGTTTTCATAGTGGTGCACTGGCCCCAAACCCGCCGAACTCGATAACAAAACATTCGAAGAGCATATTCCAATCTGTAATACCATTGTTTCAACTATTGGCATCCTAGATCCTCCAAAATCTTTGCTAAACCACATATACGTTCCAAAGCAAGCTACCGTTGAACACATGGATACGGCTACTGAAATACTTAACACCATTATTACATAGTGAAGATAGCCCACTAACGTTACATGTTTGTCTGATTGCAAAGGCAGCAGTACAATTGACATGCCTGCTGTAGTATTTTGTAGTACAACTGTTTGGTTGATGTTTGGGAAGGTAACAGACTGAAATGTAACCGTATTGTTCACGTTGAAATCTTGTAGGCTTGTATTCGTTGCTTTAGTGTTTTCGGGGTTATGAGACTGGATGACAGTAGTGTTTTCCGGAACCAAGACTGTTAATAAAGCAGTCGCTTTTGTGGTACGGAGTTTTGGAGCATCAGCGTTACAAGTATAGGTACCAGTTGCTTCGAGAGAGACTTGTTTGAGATGTAGCATAGAGACACAGGCTTCGCCATGGTTTGTCGAAAATAAGGTGGCATTTTCGTCGGTGTGAATTCCTTCTAAGTCGTAAAGGTTATTGTCTGGTTCAATGATGCTTCCATTCGGTTGAGTCCACGTAAATCGAAGATTTTTCTTACACTTAGTCTTACACGTAAAAGATGTGTTACCGCCTACACTTAAAGATATGTTCCTCGGAACCACTTCGACTGTCTGTCCATTGCAGTTGAGGGTTTTTAAACGTGTTAGAAATTCTATCGCCACTTTCTTTCCTTTACTGATCTCACAGTTGATTGCCCAAAAATTAAAAATTGCTAACCGTTGAAATGGCCGCACGTTGCAGTTACATTTGATTGGGTTATGCCTAAGGCTTAGTTGTTGAACGTGTTTTATTAATTCTACATCCTCTGGAAATAGTTTAATTTTGTTCCTCTCTAGCATAAAATAATTAAGAGAAGCTACGGTTGGGGGAATGCGTGTGAGTTCGTTTTTGCTTAGATACAGGTGTGATAATTTTGTAAGCCCGATAAATGCTTGGTCATCAATATACGTGATTTTGTTAGAAGTCAAATTTAGACGCCTAAGCCTCTCCAGCCCCCAAAATGTTTCATTTTCGAGCCTGGTAATATTGTTCTCTGACAAATCCATCTCAAAAATGTTCGACACGTTTTCGAAGCATTTAGGTAGCAGAAATATTAGCCCGCATTGCTTTATACGTAGTTTTGTCAGATATGGCAAGTAGTATGGAAAGTCGTTTGGTGCAATTTTCTCGATACTTTGTGATGATATTTCTAGAATTTTTATGTCTTGTGGTAAAGGATGTGGAATTTCCGTGTACGTATGGTTAGCCCAACTCTCACACTTAACAATATCATGGCAAGTGCAGTAATCTAGATTTAAACACCGACAGGCGCTATAATGTATACAACAGACTAATAGTAATAAAAGTACAACTTTCATCTTCAATTTTTCTCTAAGCTGAGTTAGACCTTTTACGCTTTTTTGAATAATTTTAAACGTTTTTATATATGAAACATCATCAAACAAAATCCATGCAATTGTAATATCAATTTGATTGTAACGTCTAGGTTAAAAGAATTTGTAAAAATTTCTATTATAAATTTATATACTATGGAGATCGTTTTCAGAAAAATCTCTCCTTTCTTTTTTTAAGATACCTTCAACAGCATGCCCACGTAAACACACAAAAAAATATTTTAAAAATACTGTAATTAAAAAATTGTATGTAATATAAAAAAAACTGTTAAGGTAAGAGACTTACGAGCAAGAGTCAAGTCAATTGTACTGAATTGTACATGCGTCTTGTGATCGTCGTAAGATCACAAACCGAAGGTTCTTGCGTTAGTCGTGCGTGTCTTCCAAAATCCAGTTTCTTTGCTACGACTAATGCTGCCGTAGATCCTTGTCGGAGGTTTCAATCGCAATGCTGTCACAGCCTTCAGCGAAAATGTATTTCGAAAGACGACCTTATGAAGAATTGTGCCTTACCCGGTTAGGCCAACACAGACAAGATGCCCTGACAGCGATGTTTTCCGTTGAGTTAAACGCCGTATGAACGTAGCCGTTGCTCCTAGCCTCCAACAGGCCTTTCTACGGAAATACGTATCGTAGAATTCGGCAAAAAAGAGAGTAAAATTGGCTAAGGAAGTCCGGCCGCGGGGAGGTAGTTTCTTTCCCTCCTTAACTGCGCGGCCAGTCAAACCTACAAGGCGGCCAAACTCCCCTGGCAAATATTCTCCTATATATAGCCAGCGTAGTTAGTCTGGTAGAGACTAGTTGCTCCTACCACACGACTAAACGAAAACGTTGCTGCCGAATTTCCAATTCAATCAAGGCGATACAAAAACGTCCCACCAGTATACGTTTCAGCAAAAACTGTTCAACAACGACACTGTTCTATCGTTTGAGCCAGACAGCAAAAAATGTCTCGCCCTGCGTTTGAAATAGCTTTTTTCGCCTTCATCTGTCTAAGAAATTTGTGGTGCATTTGAAGCTTCTGTGGTAGGAAGCTACAGTGCTAGACCTCGTTTGGTATTTCACGAGGGGAGAATTTCATATAAAACGCCCACATTTTTCGGAGAATTGTTGTTGTGAAAGGGGAGTTTTTTCATGTTTTTCAAAACGCAGTCGAGTAATGAGTCTGCATGTAACACATGGTGGCACGTAACGTAACAGACTGGGACAGACGGCACGTTTTAGTAGCCTCTACCAGGCTTCAGAGGCACGTTTTAGTAGCCTCTACCAGGCTTCACAGGCACGTTTTAGTAGCCTCTACCAGGCTTTATAGGCTGCTGGAAAGAGAAGAAATTTGCCAAATAGCATGGCAGGGGAGTTGGTCCTAGGCTATGCCTCTACCAGGCTTCAGAGGCGGCTGGAAGAAGCAAAATTGGTCAACAAATAGAGAGATGCCAGGGGTGTTGGTCCGCTAGAGAGTACAGTTTGCCGCACCCGGGTGTGGACTAACTCCCCTGGCATGCTGTCTCTCTATTTGGCCGATTTCTTTCCTTTCCAGTCGCCTCCTGAAGCCTGGTAGAGGCTAACGTAACGTAATAGACCAGGCCTAGGGCAGGCAGCACGTTTTATTAGCCTCTACCAGGCTTCAGAAGCGGCTGGAAAGAGAAGAAATTGGTCAAACAGACAGATAATGTGCCAGGAGAGTTTAGTCCGAGTGGCAAACTGCACTCCTTTAGCGGACCAACTCCCCTAACATGTTATCTTTTGTATATTTCTTTTCTATGACAAAGTTCGTAATTTCAGTCACCATTTTCCCATTTTACTCTCGAGGCATTGCATTGACATTTTCATGTCAAAAATTGTATACCTCCAAGAGCCTACTCTCCTAAACACACAAAAATAAATGCTGTTTAAAATGGTAAGGTATGGATACCGCTTCCACTATTGACATTGTCTATTTCAGCATTGATACGAGTTCATCGACATCGCTAAAGGTCGGTACTCGTTTTATATAAAAGTTTTTTTTTCCTAAAATTTGAAGCAAATATTAAGAAGAAAAAAAACTAATATGTCTGTATATGACACGCGGTGATGTCTATGGTGACGTCATTGTTATATATCGGAAGGAAGACCTTCAGATGTCCACCTGTTTGTACACGTGAAGACCCAATGATAGGACACGTGAACATCACGTGTTCATCACGTGTACTCTCCAAGCAGAGGTTTGGGTCTTGGGGTATTTTAGCGTGAATTTAGGCTTTCTTTTATCTGGGTTTCTTTTTTTGCACTGGATTTTTTTTTTCATTGGGTGAAACAAAATTCCAGTGAAAAAAAGAAGAAACCCCAATAAAAAAGGCCCAAAAATTACCCAAAACCCAACTCTGCTTGGAGAGTAATCATGTGAACATCACATGTACAGACATGAGGCCATATAATTAATTATTTCCACCAAAGAAGTTATAAATAACTGAACAAGGCGAGTCAATGCACTAGTAATACTACGATGAGGTACCTAGCGGTAAGGTTGTATTTTTTCTTGGTGTACGCTTTTTTGACGAACGGTTTTCAAAAGTGCGTTTTCGATTCGCGTTGTATTTGTACCCTAAACGAACGTACTGTAATTTGTATATCGGGTAGCTTTGACCAAATTCCCGCCAACATTCCTAAAACAGTTGGTACGCTGAATGTGGAGAACGGGAGACTGTCCGAGCTCAGAAAATCTTCTTTTCACGGTTTGAATTCGTTGAGGGGAATATATCTGACCAAAAACCAAATTTCTACCATCCATGAAGGTACGTTTACTGTATGTCCACGACTTATGAAGGTTGATCTTTCGCAAAACCTTCTGAAACGAGTTTTGAGGCATTATTTTTCGGGACTTGAGTGGTTGAAGACATTGAATTTTTCTGAAAACGCCATCGAATGTGTAGAAAGAGGAGCATTTGACGGCTGCAAAGCGCTTTCGGAAGTGGACCTTTCTGGAAACAAGCTTGCTTTCGTACCATGGAATTCTATGCTTCAAAACCATGGCTCTAAATGCTCCTGTTCTATGCGCAAAAGAGTGGCGTTTGTGAAGTTAGCACAAATTTTGAGCGCCGATTTTCAGACGAAAAGTAAAGATTCCGCGCCACCTGTATATGTCATTGTAGATGGGAACCCTTTAAAAAAGATTTGCACTGGTAATTCTACTTTCAATTCGAAATACGCACGGTTAGACAACAAAAAAATTCCGAATTGCCAACCGTGGAGTGAAAACATTGCCAACAAGGCGGCATTTTTATTTTGCTGCCGCGAACTGACCATAGTTCAGTTAGCGAACGCGTTAGAAGTTAGCTGTTCGGGCGACCAACTAGGATTCGACACATTTCCGAACACTCTACGATCATTGCCGATTCCCGACTACGAAGATCGCCCGAAGCTACCCGAAGAGCAGACGGAAACTACCGACGCCATTCCAACCAAGAAGACTCCTACATCAACTCATCCCAGGAATTGGACACGACCGAACTTTTCTAAAACCACACTTACAACTTCTTCTTTCACATGGATGTTCAACGTAAGCATTCTTTTGAATGAGAACTCTATGGATTCTGGAAAAGATGATATTGTACTAGTAGAGATACAGGGGCTGGTAGCGATAATATCTACTGCACTTGTAGGAATTGTGTTCAGTTGTTTTCAGATACACGCAAGGAACAATAGGCGTTAATACCACCCGAGCCCAAAAAAGCAAACTACTTTATTGTATAAGCAGATAGCTTGATGTAAGCAATAAGAGATGTAGTGAAACATGTTGCATTTGCTGGCAAATGTCAACTTATATATCGGTATATGAAGTAGGGGAAACCTCAGTGGAGGTAAGGCAGTGCTTAGAACAGCTGACACCCATATATAGTCATGTAAGGCTTTTACGATTTGCCCCCTCTGGAAAACTGCATGTTCTCTAATGTATATACTAATGCATATATATATATATATATACTAATGTTCTCTAATGTATATACTATAATTTAAATCTAGCTGTATGTAGGATTGGAAAGGATATAATTTTCTGACATTAATCTGATACTCTTATGAAACAGGAAGTATACATTGTACACTTGTGTAGTTCACCTGTGTGTGGATGGTGTTCAGCACCAAGGACAGGCGTGTTAAACTGTGTTCAGCACTAAGGACAGGCATGTTGAGTTTGTGTGTGTGTGTGTGTGTAGATGGTGTTCAGCACCAAGGACAGGCATGTTTGCCAATTTTTGCATTGTGTGGATAGCGTTCAGCACCAAGGACAGGTCTATTTGATTGTGTTACAAGTAACATTTGTGTGTATAGTGTTCAGCACCAAGGACAGGCCATGTCTGGCTGTATAATACATTGATGATGTGTTCATTATGTGTTGATGAAAGTTTTGTGGTACAATAAAATTATGTTTATAAAAAAGCATACGTTGTTTTGCATGACAGTGAATTTCAGTAGGGCAGATAATTTAGTCAAATTATAGTTATCATAGAGAAAAAAAATGATTCTTGGTACCAGTTTTCAATCCTTTTCAAATAATGTACATTTTAATCAAAATTCAGATACATTATCTAACAACATAGTTGTAGTCCACTTCTTCTTTAGAGGTAGTTAACTGATTAATTGATGAATTGACTTAACATCTAGCTTAAGATAATATCTTACATTGTAATATTTGAAACACACCTAAAAACTTTACAATTTTTTGTGTTTTGCATTTACGTTCATAGTAGGTTTTCTTACTTTCAAAATGCATAATACTGGTAATATTTCATTGATATTGTTGAACAAAACAAAATCTTACAAGTAGTTTCATGTTTGAGGGAAATTTTTTTGTTAGTCCAAGGTCATTTTGGGGTCAAAGGGCAGCCAGGTGACCTTGCCATACTTCAGCAGCTGTTCAGTGTCAAGGTCGTCAATGTGCTGCATCTGGAAATTGAAAAAAAAAACTTTTTTCAAACTTCCATATTTCAATATATAGCCTTCTAATTAATCATAACAAAGATAGTTTAAGTTACAAGGCCGAAACCTCAAAAGTGGTCAGTTATTAGAATAACTGACCACTCCCCTTTTGTCTAAGATAGTTTAATTTACAAGGCCGTAACTTAACCTTAAAAGTGGTTGGTTATTAGAATAACTGACCACTCACCTGTCATCTAAGATAGTTTAAGTTACAGAGCCGTAACCTTAAAAATGGTTGTTTATTAGAATAACTGACCACTCACCTGTCGCCTAAGATAGTTTAGGTAACCTCAAAAGTGCACTTACCTGTTGTCTGATGTACGCCACGAGTCGTTCCACCTTCTCAGGGTCATCGCAGCTCTTGTTAAACACGGTTCTCCTGACATTACAACTATACAAGGCCTTAACGTCACAAGTGGTCGATTATTAGAATAACTGACCACTTACCTGTTGTCTGATGTACGCCACGAGTCGTTCCACCTTTTGGGGGTCGTCACAGCTCTTATTGAACACGGTCCGCCAAACGGCCGCGGCGAGCGTTCGGTCGTCGCAGATGATTCCCTCGTCATACGAGAAGATCATGGCATAAAACTGCTCCGTCCACACACTGATGCTCTCGTTCATTTGTGAAGACGCCACCTGCCAATGACAGGTTTGTTGGTTTGCTTGCATTTGTTTGTTTGTTTTTTATTCTATCTCACCAGGGAAACATATCTGGCATTTTTCACGACACTTAAAAATTACCGTACATCGCAAAACATTGTGGCAATTTTATCTGTATCTGTATCCGTATACAGATAAAATTGCAGGCATGCAGCGGGGTGATAGCTAGCAATATTACTCTGGCAAACTTTATGCAGCTCCAGATGTCTTACAGAGGGATGACTGTGTGTCACTGTGTGAGATGTCGGTTAGCTTGAGGAATGAATACTTTCTACTATACACTGGCAAACTTTGTTTGAAGCTATGTATAGATAATGTCCCAACTGTACCTGGTAGCAGTGAGTCCCATTCTACAATAGTTCTAAGTAAAAGCGAGTTTTTGAACCCCTGAATCCTTGATTGATAACTCTGGTATTTATGGGTGTGACTACTTTTTCGCATTGACTTTATGTTATCACTAACCTACCACTGCATAATTATCGAAAAAGGTAGGGATCCATGGCCCAGTGTGAGTGGTTCAGACAGTCCAGTCTTATGCACCTTGCACTTGATGCACACAACTACATATACATGTGTACACCTACCAAAGGCATGCAGTTTATGCATTATGAAAACCAAACAATGATAGTGTTGCATACTCCCATGGCCTTGCCCCTTGTCTTGACATCCTCCCACATCGTATAGACCAGCCAGCGGCACACGATCTTCCCTTCCTCTCCTTCCTGTTTCATACGCACTAAACACATCCTGAAACACACACAAGACTGTTTGTTTGTTTGTTGTTTGTTTGTTTGTATAGACCAGCCAGCGACACACGATCTTTCCTTCTTCTCCCTCCTGTTTCATACGGACTAAACACATCCTGAAACACACAAGAAGTTTAGTCTTTATTTCATAATGACTAAAGTTTACCTGCCAACACTACAATGACTCAGTATCTTTAGGACTTAAAATCCTTGATTCTGAATCAGACTTTCTTGCAAGACGAGTGAAGGAGGCGGTCTACATAAGAGCTCACAGACCTACCCTGAACCTAGCTTGAAAGACTACTAGTAGGTACTTTAGGTGCTTTAGACTAGAGTAAGAGGAACTCACCACACATGTAGCTCCATGATAAGAAACCAGGAATTTAGGGTATCTGGAAGACCACAGGCTGAAAGAAAACAAAAAGACTTTACATCACTTCGACAATATTCATACAAAAGACATTCCATTGTTGAAACTGTATTGAGAAGTGCCTTTTTCTCACCTGGTGTGTGCATTTTTTTAGTCAAATAAATTTTTAGTCCATCGGAATTGAAGTTGTGGGTACTTATAAATGTCCTTACCTTCAAAAAAGTCGCTGAAGTTGATGCCATCTGTACAACATGCATACATGAGCAGTCCAGAGTTCCGCAATCTCTGTAATATAAGAATTATAAAAACAAGTCAATGGTATTTTTAGGGGGAGGAGGTACAGTACTACTGACATATCCTGACAATTACATTACACTTACTGTACTTAAGAATTGTTTCAACAGTAAACTTACAATACTGTAAAATCCTCCTTTACCCATTCACTGCAAAATCAAGCCCTTCTCTTCTTCACTTCACTTCAGTTCACTATCTGGTTTTTTATCACCTGTCTTTCTTTCCAAGCCCCCCAAATAAATTTACATACTAGTACACATGTACTGTACATAATTTCAACACCAAAGATGCCCCTACTCTGGTACTCTGGTAATTTCCAAGCTATGTGTAGGCTATATGCTACTAGTACATTGGCATTGCAATTGACATTTGACTAGATTATATAGAAGCAACAGATTGCGTTAAGAATGTTTAATGAAGATATGGTATGATGAAATTATTATATGTCTCACGTATTTGTTGACACGAAGTTTCCCTGTGAAACCCAGTTTCTTGAGAATCCTTCTGGGAAGACTTGTCTTCTCCTCAGCAGCTGTGGGAGGGTAGTAAGGAGTGGTTCCTCCTTCACTCTGATACTTAAGACATAAATAAAAAAACTTGTTTAAGAAGAGGGCAAATTTCATACATTTACAATACTCTTAGTTATGTACTAGTAGCTGCTGGTAGTAGAATGTGGGGAGAAGACGAAAGCTAAAAATGAATGAATGAACTTTATTGCTCGACAGTTGTACACAATGTATGGCATCAATAACAATGTGATCAATACAATCAAGTCTATTCTAAGAGACTACTAGTATTACTACAGGAATATGAAAGTGATATGATGTGAGTTAGGCGTTACTATCTGTTACAATAAAAAGGCTAGCTGACACTCAGGCTAAACAGTTTGAGATCTTCAAGAGTAAATATACCTTACCTGTACTGATGAAACAGATGAGAATTGTCTAGTGACTACGTTGACAGGTGTGTATGGATTGCTGGTCTGTTGTAGGTTCAACATCTTTGTGCCAGGAGTGGTGCAGGTACTTGCAAGTGCTGGGCTCTGGAAACGTGAAATTGTTCCATTTCTATCAAAATTTTAAGGCTTTGCACACACACACACACACACACACACACACACACACACACGCACAGACACACACACACACACACACACACACGCGCGCGCACAGACACACACACACAAATGCACACACACGCCAGCTCACACACACACACACACACACACACACACTCACTCACTCACACACACAGAAACACACACACACACACACACATACAGACACAGACAGTTACAATAGAAATCATTACAGTAACGTACTAGTATTACGTATCATAGCTGTGTTAACTACGGTTTCAGTATCACAGACTCGCAAATAATTTCAAGTTGGTTATGAAAGGGGGAGGGGGGCAGTACTATACCTGTACAGCAGCTAGCTGCAAGGCCCGACAATGGCAGCGAACAGCGGTGGCTAACATCGGTCTGAGACAGGACATCGTGTGGAAAAAGGTTCTGCTGTTTCTTACGGCTCTGGGTTGTTCAAAGTAGAGTCCCTGTCCTCCAAGCAAAGTCACTTCTTACAAAACACACGAGTTACGCAAAGGTTACTCAAACCGGGCGATACCACTTTTAACAGGGGGTTTCTGAACCTTTTTCTGCATATGTTTACAAAGGCTATGTCTCGCTTAAACAATGTAAAATGGTATTTACTTTATAAGGAATGGCAGTTATTTTATTATTTGGAATAAAGATATCTCTTTGGCTGTGAGGAAGCAGTTTAGAAGCTTTAGATTCTCCTCGAATTTTTATTGGGAATGGTAGCGTTCTTCTCACGAGCGCCGCATAGCGGTTCAAAAATGAACTACAAACATGGTATGGTCTGATCACATGGTTTAAATGGCGCCAAGTGACAATATTCCAGAAATAGGGGTCCCGTAAAAACTAAGATCATTATACCAAAGCTCAACTCTGAAAACAATTAATGGATTATGTAAATAAGAATATACTTTGAGTATTATATGGATAATTTAATATATATTTAAGCCGAAATTTGTCCATACAATATCAAAGAGAAGAAAAAATTAAGCTGAGCACCCCTAATTTGACAAGAATGAAATGGTCCCCATGGTCAGCTGACCAGTTTGGCGCGAAATCTGCTGGTCTTTACAGAAGAACCATACCGAACTGTTGGAAATTTTCAAGCACATTTTCGGCAAGAAAAGCAGAATTTTCAACACCAAAATGGACACAGACGTGGACCAACATTTGCGTGACGTCCAGAGAGAGTATCTGGACTTTCTAGATGATGCGGTAAGGAAAAGTTATTCGTATTTTGTTGTTTTTTCGCGGTCTGTTTCGCGATATGGTATTATGATAAGCATGCATGGCCTTGCTTGATGCCTCGGTCGTAGAACAACGGAAACAGAGCGAATGTTTTATATTTCTAAGTTATTATATCAATAGTTTGTTGTAGGTGTTGAATAATGTATTTGAATCACCGTGTTAAGTTCCTTTGTTGAAGCCATACTACTCTTTTGTATGTGTGTGTGTGTGTTTGTGTGTATGTTGGGGGGGGGGGGCAGAATTTCTTGGGGGTCTGGCAGGTACATATTTCTGGTACATTTTATTTTAGGTTTTATTTTTGTAATAAGTCCAGAATTGGTTCTTGACTTATAGTTTTTTTTTAATTTGAACCTAAACATTTTTACAATGACTGAACCGGTCCAGCAAACCGGTACACAGCACTATCTACACTGTAAAAAATCCTGGTGAGAACCCTGGGGCTGAAACATATAATTCATTTCAGGAGACAGATGGGACCTACACAGACAAGGTTCGTGAGATGGTGACCAACAACGACTTCCGCCTCGTTGTCAACATCAACGAACTCAGGAAGAAGAACGAGAAACGCGCCAACGCGTAAGTTTACACTAAATCCTAAAGATGACAGCCTAATGACAATAACAATGAACTTTTTTGCATAATCATGCCATAAATGGCTTAAATGCACTAGGTTAGATAACTGAAGTACACATGTATGTATAAGGGTATAAGAGATTGCTAGATTGCCATGTTACGTCTTTATCTACAAGTTGTCCCCTCTTCTGAGACTTGTTACACTCAATCTTTACACATTTAATTGCAGAAGTTGTTTAAAGCTTTCTAGTGATAAAGTAAAAGCTGTATGTTGACTGAATGTCTTGTTTTCCTGGTAACAGCTTGCTGTCTGCCGGCTGTGAGGAGTTGGTGTGTTTCCAGAAGGCACTGAAGGATTTTGTGGCCACGGCAGACACGGCCTACGCCAAACAACACGAGGAGTTCTTTGTGGGGTTTGAAGGAAGGTAAGGCACTTTGTTACAACACTAATCATGTTTACTTGTTATTACATAACTGAGGATCACTCGAAAATTTGGAAGGAAAAGTGTCAAAAGACAGTAGGAATTTTGTTAAGTAGGATTTAGTTGTAATTTTCAATAATTATTGATTGATGTTCAATAAATTTTTTTTTCTCACTTGACAGTTTTGGCGCCAAACATGTGACCCCACGAACCCTGACCTCATCTTACCTCGGAAACCTGGTGTGTGTGGAGGGGATCGTCACAAAGTGTAGGTTTCACACAAATGATATCTATTTGCCAAGGATGGTAATGTTATTGAACAGTTCATCTTTTACCTTACATAGTCTACACTACATGTTCTTTGGAAGCCAAAAAATTGAATCTAGTTTTTGTAATGTAATGTTGTTTTGCTTGTTGAAGTGTCATAGTGTTCAATTATGTTGTAGTAATACATTGAAAACCTTTATGTAATGTATTGAATTATTTTGAACAGGAGTACTAGACGATTTCAACACAATTCCCCCAAAGTATAAAATCTCTGATTTCTTGGTTTAGTCATTGACTTGATCATTACAGGGATTCTTTATTGACACAACAAAAAGTGCAGGGACTTTTGTATAGTCTTCTACAACTAAAGATCTAACAAACTTAAATACATGTGTGGATAACGTGATCCTACGTACAAAATATATGTATGCAGTAACAATAAAGGTTTAACTATTTGTGTGTCTGTTCCAGGTTCCCTGGTGCGTACCAAAGTAGTTCGCAGTGTTCACTACTGCCCAGCTACCAAGAAGACCATTGAACGTCGCTACACGGACCTCACCTCACTCGATGCCTTTCCCTCGAGTGCTGTCTACCCAACTAAGGTTGGTTTGCATACCAATCATAAACCTGCATTTCTCCTCTGGTCTCTCAGTCACTGATGAAAAGGTAGTGGATGCTACCTAAAACTCTGACCGTTTTCAAAATCATATCCAGTTGCTTGAGTAACTGTTTTTTTTGGCGTATCGTATTACCTGGATGTCTAACCTTCACCAACGTACCTAAGGTTTGTTTATTTGTTTATTGGAATATTTTATAGCTTAAGTCCTTCTGCATCTAAAATCTGCACTTACCTTTAAGTTAGTTGTTCTATTTTGCTGCAGTAACCTGTTAAAACCAAATTTGTAATACATTAAGTATGGGGTCAGGCAGTTGCCTGGGTACCATCCTACTTATATGCCGGGGCTCCCACACTCGCTTCCCTACTTCTTAGGGAAGCGAGTGTGGGAGCCCCGGCATACAAGTAGGATGGTACCCAGGCTAGTCAGGCAGCAGAAAGATTGTTGAAAAAAAAAACAGCAGTTAGTAGTTATTCATACTTTAGCTGTCTTTTTTCATACTGAATTCATACATAATTTTTCATTCCAACGCCAGGATGAGGATAACAACCCACTTGAGACAGAATTCGGCCTGTCTGCTTACAAAGACCACCAGACATTCACCATACAGGTTTGTTTCTTTTTGTGCTACAAATTATAGCTCTCAAAACCATTCCAACTTCTGTGTAACAGTCTATTACATAGAGTAATGTTATAGACTGTTAAGCTGGTCATATATGTTTTGTCTTGTCAGCAGGGATAGCCCTTTGTAATAGCCACAGGCTAATTCGGCTGCCCTGGTTGTGTGTGTTTAAATCATAATGAAGGTGCATTGTCATTAGATAGCTTTAAACAATGTCTACAGTTAGATGTTCAAGGGTTAGGTGCAACAAGTCGATCGGTGTAATGCAGCCAGCTGCCGCCACGCCGCGTGCCTGCGAAGCTGCTGTGTTACGCCGAAAGGCGGTTATACTGGCGATACAGATAATTTTGATAACTTTGATTTTTGATAATTTTGATTATTTTCTTCATTTTTCCTTGATTAGGAAATGCCAGAGAAAGCCCCAGCAGGCCAGCTCCCGCGGTCAGTGGATATCGTAGCTGACGATGATCTTGTCGACGCGTGCAAACCCGGGGACCGTGTGCAGGTCATCGGGCTCTACCGCTGTCTGCCCTCCAAGAAGGGAGGGTTCACTTCTGGTACCTTCAGGTGGGGAAAATAGGGGACCATTCAGTAACAAGTAGTGCTGGTAGTGGCAGTGAGTACTGGTCAGCATTGCTGAATGCTAACAGTTAATGCATTTACTGAAATGGTTTCATTTTGTCTGCCCTCCAAGAAGGGAGGGTTCACTTCTGGTACCTTCAGGTGGGGAAGTTAGGGGACCATTCAGTAACAATTAGTGATAGTCAACATTGGCGTTGTGTAGTAAAAGGACACAGTAAAGCATTTACTAAAATGTTTTTATTTTGTCTGCCCTCCTAGAAGGGGGGGTTCACTTCTGGAACCTTCAGGTGGGGAAAATAGGGGACTATTCAGTAACAATTAGTGATAGTCGACATTGGTGTTGTGTAGTAAATGGTTTTATTTTGTCTGCCCTTTATGAAGGGAGGGTTCACTTCTGGTACCTTCAGGTGGGGAACATAGGGGACCATTCAATAACTTCTAGTGCTGGTCAACATTGTTGATTTGATACTGTAAATTTAGTGTATTTTATCTCATGATGGTTTTATTTTGTGGTATGACGGAATTGAGGTTTCACAGTGTTTGAAGTTCATAGTTGAAACAATTCTGTAGCACAATTGTCATAGAAAAAGACATCATTGTAAAAAATAGCAAAAATAGAACCACCATGAAAATTTCACAATTTATGGTCTGTAGACTTTGTCTATGGGAGTCAGTATTGGAAATTCATGTAGAATCTGTATAATATTTGTTCCCCAGAACCATCATGATCGCAAACAACATCAAGCTGATGAGTAAGGAAGTCGCTCCATCTTTCTCTGCAGATGACGTCGCAAAGATCAAGAAGTTCAGCAAGACAAAGAAGGTGAGGAAAAAGACTTTTATATAATCTTTACTTTCGTATTTCTACCAAGTACGTTAAGACCAGTCTACATTAGAAAAACAGTGTTATCAGAAGACATTCTCAACAATGTCTGGAACACCTGTATTGTTTGAAAGTCTCACTGCAACTTTAGTTTAACTTGCTTCAGAATCTGTTCCTGATTTTCTGTTAAATAACAAGTTTTATACCAGAATTTTTTCAAATGATTTGACAATGAATCGCAAGTTGGTTATTCTAAATGCTAATTGCTTATTTTCTTTCTGACAGGATGTGTTTGAGATCCTGGCCAAGTCCATGGCTCCCACCATCCACGGCCATGAGTACATAAAGAAAGCCGTCCTGTGTATGTTACTGGGAGGGTGTGAGAAGGTTCTGTCTAACGGTACACGGCTTAGGGGGTGAGTACCAGACTACATGGGTTTGATTCCCACAAACATTCACTCTTTTCTTCTTTGCGTGGAAGTCAACAAAGTCAAAAGCTTTTATATGTATGACAGTCTTTGCTATGCAATTCAATTTGTACAAGAAAATAAAACACTTAAGACAAATAGTCAATACTAGAAACAAGACATTTGCTAGCAAATGCAGCTTATTTTATATTTTTGGACCATCCCTCCCCAGTACGAAAGCGAAACATATCATTCCAAAATAATCCTTTTCCGTTACAGAATTTTATGTACACTACTACATGTACACTACCAGGTAGTACACACAGATTTGGAATTTTTACACTACATGTCAAAAGTACCAAAACTAAATGTCATTTTTCCAGAGACATCAACGTACTGCTTATCGGTGACCCGTCCACTGCAAAGTCCCAGATGCTGCGTTACGTGCTGCACACGGCTCCGCGCGCCATTCCGACTACCGGCCGCGGCTCGTCTGGTGTGGGTCTGACCGCTGCCGTCACCACTGACCAGGAAACAGGTACTGTCTTCACAGTAGCTAAATTTCTCGGTCTGAGGAAAGTGGACATGTTCACTAAACCTGCCCTCATGCAGGCAGCACATGCAGGGAGGGGAGGGCAAAAGACAAATGATTTGATACAGAAGCTACAATGAAAACAGTGAACTGAACATAAAGGTGTTTTGAGAAAAAAAAACAGGAATTACCTTATTGTTGCAAGCAAATGCAAAGATTATCTCTCAGTCTAATATTTTTGTGACTGTGGTCCCTTATAGCTAAACATCATTGTTCAAAACTACAGCTTTTGTTGCCTACATGTACCTACATTCTACCTACATTGTTTGTTTCAGGTGAGCGACGTTTGGAGGCAGGAGCTATGGTGCTGGCTGACCGAGGAGTGGTCTGTATCGATGAGTTTGACAAGGTAGGAGTCTGTACTTGTAAAAAATGATGATATATACAGTTGTCATAAATTGAACCACCACTGTATTTTATTTTATTGTATACATGAATTGATGTATTTAGCTTTGTATGTGTGCTGACCTGTTTTTACTAAATAATGATATTGGCCTCTGTTCTTGAAATAAAGAAATTATTTAAAAAATATTTTTTCAGATGACAGACATGGACCGTACAGCCATCCACGAGGTTATGGAACAGGGTCGTGTGACCATCGCCAAGGCGGGAATCCACGCGAAGCTCAATGCTCGCTGCTCTGTACTGGCCGCTGCCAACCCCGTGTACGGAAGGGTATGTGTGGCAGTTATGTTTCAAAGTGGCAGTTATTCTAAAAGTGGCAAGTTATTTTGTATGTAGCAGTATTTTTTTCAAGCTGTAGGTATGGTTTTAGCTGCCACTTTAATTATTTTGAAGAGGCAGTATTTCTCAAAGCTTAACTTTTATTTTTATTTAACAATTGGTAAGTATTTATATTTCCAAATGTGTGTCAATATTCAATGTGTCTAATTTGTATTTACTGTATAATTGTTGTTTTTTTTATTTAGTATGACCAGTACAAGACCCCGATGGACAACATTGGGATGCAGGATTCTCTACTGTCACGTTTTGATCTGCTGTTTATTGTTCTGGACAAGGTGAGCAAATAGTATGCACAGCAGTGTATACACAAATTTCACATATTTTCAAGACAAGTTTTTGCATCTATTTTATCTCTTTTGGTGTGTGTGGTGTTGCCATACACTCAAATTGTTTCTTGTTAGATTAGAAGGGTAGCAAAGCAGTATAGGCCAGCCATCTCTGATATTTTACCATGCACATGTTGTAGTTTCTGTTGTACATAACTGTCTACACTTCTGTAACTAATTTGAATGTTGTGTGGCTGTTGTTTGTGTTAGATGGATCCAGAACATGATCGTATGATCTCAGATCACGTCCTGCGGATCCACCGCTACAGATCCCCGGGGGAGCAGGATGGAGATGGTAAGGGGGATGTTTTCTTCTTCATGTGTACAAGAACTGTTGAATTTCCCACTTCCAGACACTGCTAGAGGCTGAACCTGCAAAAAAAGCATGTATTATATTTATTTCATATGTTTGTGTAATAGTAGCCTCCTTTGATGATTAGAAATAGGTTAGAGATAGAGAAATGTGACTGAATGAAAATGGTGTAAATATTTTTTCTCTTCCTCCCCCAGCTCTTCCCATAGTATTCCTGGAGGAATTTGGGAAGTGGTGAAATACCCAATTAGATTACATCACACAAACGCTTTCTTCAAAACAAGGTCTGTGTTTTAGAAGCCCATAAAAGAATCTCACATTTCTTTCTTTCTTCTTTACAGTTCTGCCAATGGGCAGTGACGTGGACGTGCTGACCACAGCTGACCTGGATGCAGCTGATGAGGAGGAGAAGGAGATGTCCATCTATGAGAAACACGACAACACGCTGCACGGCCAGAAAAAGGACAAGAAGTACGCTTTGTTGATCTCTTCTTCCACAAAAAATATTTCTGTTATTGTTTAAAGGACTTTGTGTCCTTGGGAAAGGCAGCACAACTCCACATAGCTAGGTGTAAAATGTGTACTTTGGGGAGGTAAAAGGCAGTGGAAACATGACAACACACTGCACGGGCAGAAAAATGACAAGAAGTATGCATTTTGTAGTTTTGTGTTTGCACACTCAGGAAAATGTTTCTCCAGAAATTATTTTAAAAATGTACTTCATGTATGTTCTTGTTTTTCGTCGTGCCTGCTTTACACAGTGTTGGGTATGGTCTGAAAAATTTCTTTTCTACCCATCCAAGGAATGTTCTGCTGTTGAAATAATACTGTTAGCATGGGTATACCTGACTTCAGTTAGAGAGGTACAAGGCAGTAGAAGGAGAGGGATGGGCTCCACCTTCCAATACCATGCCCTAAACACAGTGGATCAACAACCCACTGCCCCTACGGCCTCAGAAAGGCTGCTGGACTACTTTAACCTTTCTTTACAACACAAAATAACAAACATTTCTCAATTACAGTAAATTCCTAACAGTCCCTTCACTCTGATATTTCTGCAGAGAGAAGATCGTGAGCATGCAGTTCATGAGGAAGTATATCCACGTAGCGAAGGCCCTGCGACCTGTGTTGACCCGTGAGGCGTCAGACTGTATCGCTGATGAGTACTCCAAACTCAGGAGTCAGGAGAATCTGGCAAGCGATGTGGCTAGGGTGAGGAGAACATCATTCAGTAGATACTTTAGTCTTTTAGTGCCAATTTTGTGGTGTCTGCCAGCACTTGCATGTCCATGTAATAGAACCCAGATAAGAACGTCATTGATAATTTCTCCCTTGCTCCTCCATGAATGCCAAACCTAGTCTCCATGGATGACTTGAGATATGGGGGAAGTTCTCCATACAGCAGGTCCTTTGTGGTGTATAATGGATTTGCAATGCTCTCACTTGTCACTAGGGGGAGCTTTAGAGCATCGCAGTGGGGTTACCACTGAAATACATTCAATCCACACCTGACATTTCAAAATGTTCCGACAACATACGACATTGCACATGATACTGTTATCTAGCTTATATACAGTATTGCCCTTTATATCATTGGGTTGCAATGATTGGAACAAGCACAGTGTAGCAACATATTCCAATGCTTTAATAGAAAATATTTACGTATCTTACAATATGTGTACATTTCTGTTCCCCCAGACCCAGCCAGTGACAGCCCGTAGTCTGGAGACAATGATCCGTCTGGCGTCGGCCCACGCGAAGGCTCGCATGAGCAAAACTATCACACGGGAGGACGCTGAGGCAGCTATCGAAATGATACAGTTTGCCATCTTTCACAAGGTGAGTGGGTACATTCTGTTAGCCTGGTTAAAAAAAAACTATTTTAGCTCCCGAGTCCTACATCCTCTCCGACAAATAGGTCTGAAATATTTGCGGACAGGATGTATGTGTAGGACTCGGGTATGTGTCAGATAAGACCTTTTTCCTTCTTTGAATATTTGGGACATATCAGCTGTACTCATTTGAATATTTGTGATACCTTGGTGTGGGAGTAAGAGAAAATTCATCTGTTGCAGTTATTTTGATGTAAGTGCTTATCACTTTTCTCTGCTATGCACAATTCGTCAATGAGACAACTAATGGACTCAAACATTCCAACAAAACGATGTTTTCGGCCAGTCTCTGATGACCAATACAAATGATATTATTTCTGTTATCTCTTTAAAGGTCTTGGAAAAGGCTAAGAAGAAGCGCCAGCGAGAGGCTGACTCAGAAGATGATGATGAGGAGGAGGAAGAACAGCCTGCCAAGAGGAGGAAGGAGCGCCCTCCCCGTAACCCTGACGACCCGTATGACTATGATGATGATGATGAAAATGGTAAGTTCCGAAGACACTATGGGGATCTGTACAAGTCAGTATATGCACAGTGTATTCAAATAGCCATGCCTTCAAGTACCAGAGTTATCAAACAAGGATCGAGGTGTTCAAGAATTCATTCTATCGCAGAGTGGAATTCGCTGTCACCAAGTATAGTAGGGGCATTGTCATTAGATAGCTTTAAACAATGTTTAGAGTTAGATGTTCATGGGTTAGGTGTAGCCAGCTGCCGCCACGCCGAGTGCCTGCGAAGCTGGTGTGTTGCGCCGAAAGGCGGTTATATCGGCTATACAGATACAGATACAGAAGTCTGTGTTACACAAGTATAAGCCAGTGGGCTAAGTATATATCTGAAGCCTTCTGAAAGTTTGTTTTTTCTCTCCCCAGTACCAGACATCGGACGTCGCAGAGAGAAACAGAAACAGAAGGACGCAGACGTGTCCATGGACACATCAACATCACAGGGGGCTGCAAAGGACGGGGTGTCTGAAGACAGGTACTGTGCTGCATCATATTTTTTAAAAAAGACACCATGAATTGAAATACATGTAGTACCTATAACACAAGCAAGTTACAGTGTTTAAGATACTGGTGGGATTTGATTTTGCAGTGTAGGGGAAAAGGAAGCATTCACAGTGTTTTACGTTGAGTTTGAGTTTTGAAACCCCCATTGTAAACCCCTCTTGACTTGGGAATGGATGGTGGATGGGAATATAATAGAATATGATATAATAAACCAGTCATTCATTACTTCATTCCTTCAATAAAATCACCAAATTCTTAACATTTTACTGAAAAAAAATTATTTATAATGACAGACTGATTCAACTGTGCAATCTTTGAAATTTTTTCTTTTCCCCTCAGACTTCAGATGTTCAAGAAGTCACTCCTGGCTGTCTTCAAGAAAGAACACGCGGAATCCTTGCCCCTTAAGAGGGTGACAGAAGCAGTCAACGGTGACCATCCCGACGATCCGTTCTCGGAAACCGAGATACGCAGCGCGGTGGACAAGATGATGGACAGCAACCAAGTCATGCTGTCAGACGAGACCATCTTCCTCATTTAAATATTCAGGACAGAACACTTGTACTCATTTGAATATTTGTGACATTGGACATGATTACTAAAACTTTTAAGTGTTCACTGGTCAAAATTACATGTATGTGCAGAGACATTGCCTTTTTTTTGCATGTATGACAAAAAATTGTGCATGGAAATTGTAAAATGGAAAAACAGAATTATATGAATTACGCCAAATTGCTGTATCATATTAATCAAAGCCTTTTCTTACTGACACATTTCAGGATATGTTTTTGTGGAACTTTATGGTCAACTAGTCCTGTAAACATCACTCTTACGGATGTGGTCTTGCTTCATCAGTTTGCGTCACTTCACTTGCGTCATTGTTGTTTACTCAAAGAGATCACTTCCACGTCTTTGCAAACTTTCTGGTTGTGTTTTGACTCTTGTCCATTGTGCCTTGTCCTCTGAACTGAAATGTTTTATCCTTGGTTTGTCTCTTGGAATGTCAACATTGACTCTTACCATTCCAAAGCTAAGAAAGTCATAAGTGAGGGTAGTAGGGACTAAACAAAATTCAGAGGTTGTTGGGGGGCATTTGGAAAGACTAGAGGCTATGTAGGGGGGGATTGGAAGGGCTTGAAATTCAGTGGCTGGGGGGAGGGGTGGATTTGGAAAGGCTAGAGGCTCTGTAGGGGTATTTGGAAAGGCTATAAGATGGTATGTGAGGCACACAGTGCAAAAAGTAGTATGTATAAAGTTATAATTAAGCTACACTGTGCCCCCACCACTTAAATGCTCATGCAACATGCAACCCCTTTGGGGTCTGCATTTATAGTTTCAACATAATGTACATGAACAAGGTTAGTCCTTTAAAGCATTGTTTAGTGGATAGTCTTAAAAAAGATATAGTCAACTATACTGTTAAGAATTGCATGTGTGGAAGAGATGTGTTTTTTGTTTGTTTATCTTGATAGTTTAGAACTGTACTTAAATCTTTGAGCATATACAGCTACAGTATAAACATTTATAGCAACTTAAAAATATTTGTCAGGAAATTCGTGTTTGCAGTTTTGCTTATTTGTCGGAAAAGCTTAAATAAAAAGACATACCCATAACACAAGCCACTTAGTCAAAAAAATTTTGTTGCACTCATTTTCACAGGATTATTTTAGTTAATTTGTACCAACTTTGTCACTATGTTGTAGTAAAGAAGACAGGGACAGTTTTAAGCATGGCATTTTATTCTACACGCACAAACAAAAGTGCATGCAAGCATTGTCTCTATCATAAGTTACCACAGCATTATCTTTATGTACAACATTTAGTACAATGTAGTCAAGTACAACAGCTTTTTTGGACGGATGGCTTTGAAGCAAAATAAAAGTTAAAACTTTTAGTCAAGCAGCAACTTTGCAAAAATAAAAATAACCATCTTTCTATATAGTATAAAATGTCTTCTACCCAAGAAACCTTTGGTAGCTTGGGGAAAGCAGCCTGTTTTAGACCAAGGCTCACCAATACTAGTCTTTGTAAGCCTTTCTGTTTAAGAAATAAAATCTCTAATACAAAACTTGAGCCCTTAATATGTGAAACAAGAACTGTACAACGTTGAGCAACAAAATTCTCAAAGCAAAGCTCAAAACAAGCATGCATTCAACAACAAGCAAAAACCTTGGCTTAATGTAAGCTTATCTTTTTACACATATATTTACATATGTACATGCCAGTCTTATTATTAAGGTATTCTGCATCCGCTATCAAAAACAGTACTTCATACCTGAAAGTATCATCTTGTTTAATATGGTTAGCCTGGGTGCCAGACCCATAGCACACTATTTATTTATTTATTTATTTCATCTCAAGACGGCTGGGTAGCCCCAATTCAGCTTGAATCAGCTGTTTTCCAAGGGGGCCCAGCAAAATTACACAGGACATAGTAACGTACAGTAAGACAACATACAGTAAACATAAAAGTCCGATTCGTCAAAACAGAGTCGTAGTCCAATACTCAAAATCCTAGCCGTTCAAGGTCAAAAGCACGAAAATCAAGGAATGGAGGTCAGAGGTCAGGTTTCATATGACATATGTTTCAAGCCTGCTTTATCTCACTAAGATACATTGTACTTTGTGTGCAGTGTGCTATGGGTCTGGCGCCCAGGCTATAATATGGTGGTCTCTTCTGTCGAACTATGCAATAAACAGGCTAGCTGGACGGATAGCACTATGCAGCCACAAGATAGCGGCCAAATTTCCCGTTAAGTAGGTAGACTATCCAATAGCGAATGACAGTTAATATACATACATGTAGACGTATGCCACGTCACGATTTTAAAGGGATACTTTTTACACTTGAAATATTACAAATGTACATAGAGAAAAACACTGTCTTCCAGAATCGGCCTCTGTGAAGACTTAGGAAGCAAGTATTTTCCCAAATTTTTCTCTGTACAACTTCGGTCTTTGTCAATGAATGAGCAATCCACCGCTTCTGTGACGTCACATTCTGTACAAGTTGTACAGTTACAAATTTGGATAAGTCCAATTTCTTGTGCTGACTTCAGTCAACACAGATGAACTTTCAAGATCGTTCAGACCTGGAACAGTGTTTATGCATCTTTTTAAGTCCGGTTTTACCGTTTGTTCTTGAGCAGTGTCAGATGAATTGTAGGTAACTGTTCAACAGATCGTCCACACAGTTAGCCGTGTCCAACACCTCCGGTACCAAACTCAGGACTCCGCCATAGCACTTCATCTCAAATGGCTTCAGAACGTTCCCAAAGTCCGCCTTCGATGTCTGCAGATCAGAAAAGTCTGTCTCCTTGGCCAACAGCGCTCCCCACTTTTGCAACGATGCCCAAATGTCTTCTTTAGTCTTCTTCTGCGTTCTCCCCTCCATCTTTTGACTCGAGTTGATTTTGGCCCAGATGTTTTCCAAGACGTGCACGCGGAGTTTGGACAAGTCACGCACGATGATGAGAAACTCTTCCACCATGTGGACGCTTTTCGAACCCTGGTCTTTCAGGATTCGCTCGAATTCCTCGACTTCTGTGAGGGTGGAGATGGTTTTGGTGCTGACCGGTTTCACTGACTTCAGGGCTTCCACGAATCTGCGCACTTCCAGTGCGAAGTAACTGTGGGGGTGAACCAAGAAGGTACGCAGCATTAGAATTTACCAATGGGTATGCACTGAAGAAACAGGTTCATGTACAGATACATATTTATGTACAGATACAGATTCATGTACAGATATAGAAATACAGATTTCCCGAGTATGATGACCGTGTCAGTCCCTACACCTGAGTGAGGGTCACAGTTGACACGGTGGCCTTCGCGTGGATTTGTTTAAGGTGGATAACAGGTTGCGAATCTGAGACCCACACACTTTGGGCATCCGTGTATTGCTAGCACGGTTCTAGATATTACAAGTTGAAAGTTAACAAAGAACATTAACCTGTATGACTCCTCAGCCGACTTGATCCCTCTGCAGAAGTTCCTGAGGTGGTGTTCCATGCTGATCTCCACAGCGTCTTCCCCTTCTCTCGGCGATCTGCCTTTTCCGCGGACAATTTGCTATCGACATAACAGGAGCCAGTGTTATTACTTCAATTTCAGGTACATGTAGTATTGTGTAAGGTGTTCAGCAACAGGGACAGATATGTTTGCATGTGTGTGGAAGGTGTTCAGCACCAAGGACAGACATGTTTGCCTGTGTGTGGATGGTGTTCAGCACCAAGGACAGGCATGTTTGCATGTGTGTGGATGGTGTTCAGCACCAAGGACAGGCATGTTCACCTGTGTGTGGATGGTGTTCAGCACCAAGGACAGGCATGTTCACCTGTGTGTGGATGGTGTTCAGCACCAAGGACAGGCATGTTCACCTGTGTGTGGATGGTGTTCAGCACCAAGGACAGGCATGTTTGCATGTGTGTGGACGGTGTTAAGCACCAAGGACAGGTGTGTTCATCTGTGCGTGGATGGCGTTCAGCACCAAGGACAGGTGCATTTGCCTGTGTGTGGATGGTGCTCTGCACCAAGGACAGGCATGTTTGCATGTGTGTGGATGGTGTTTAGCACCAAAGACAGGCATGTTTGCATGTGTGTGGATGGTGCTCTGCACCAAGGTACAGGCATGTTTGCATGTGTGTGGATGGTGTTCTGCACCAAGGACAGGCATGTTTGCATGTGTGTGGATGGTGTTCTGCACCAAGGACAGACATGTTTGCCTGTGTGTGGATGGTGTTCAGCACCAAGGACAGATACATTTGCCTGTGTGTGGATGGTGTTCAGCACCAAGGACAGACATGTCAAAGAGAACACTGCCCCAACTGCGATAGACTTGACACCAGGCTACTGTCTATTTGGCCAATTTCTAGTCTTCCCAGCCGCTTCTGAAGCCTGGTAGAGGCCAGACTAACTCTCATAGCATGTTATCTGTCTATTGGGCCAATTCCTACTCTTTCCAGTCGCTTCTGAAGCCTGGTAGAGGCTCTAGTGATACGTTATAAATCAAAGTAAATCAATCATTGGCCAGAGGAGTTGCTGGTCAGAGAGAGTCCATTTGCCTGCACGGCCAACTCCTCTGGCCAATGATATCCCCATCAGACTCCTTTGCAGGCTACATAAATCCATCAGACTCCTTTGCAGGCGACTATAAATTTAGCCTGCGAAGGAGTCTGGTGGAGACTAACAAAACATGGGCTTACCCTTCTGCCTGTCTGCCGTTCCCTGGGAGAGTGCCTGGGAGTGGACTTGGGGGTGGGGGTTGGCGGGGCCGGGGCGTGCAGCTGCGGGACTATCGGCGTGGCGGGCGGGGAGAGCAGGCCCAGCGGCGACGTGCTCGGTCTGCTCAGCCCCTTACTGCCGCGCAGCTGGGACGAACATCTGCAAAACGATATTGAACAATTGAATAATTTTAAAAATTTACTATTTCTGTCTTCAGTCACTTAAGCTCTCTCTCTCTCTCTCTCTCTCTCTCTCTCTCTCTCTCTCTCACACACACACACACACGCACGCACTCACTCACTCACTCACTCACTCACTCACTCACTCACTCATGCACTCACTCAGTCCCGTAGACAATCTGGAAAATGATTTCGGATTAGTACATTTTTGCAAAATGACTTCATCCTAAGAATAGGAATAGCTAAGGATGATGCTTTCAATGAAAGAATAAGTTGATTAGGCAAAAGTCATATCGATATTCTTCTCTCTCTCTCTCTCTCTCTCTCTCTCTCTCTCTCTCCCTCCCTCCCTCCCTCTCTCCCTCCCTCTTTCTCTCTCCCTCCCTCCCTCTCTCTCTCTTAAAGTTTGTATCTCATAATCATACATACGATCTGCTTGGAGATTAGCTAAAGACTAGTTCCCCACCTGTGGTACTGCTCCTCCTGAATGGCGGTCTGCAGGACGATTTCGCGCGCCCCGGCCGCCTTCAGCGTTCTCTCGTTCACTAGAGAAGACTGCATCAGCTCGTGTAGGGTTCCGCCGAGGTACTGACTCCACAGCGCTCGCTGCGACTCTATTCCGTTACAGCTTACGGTAAGGAGCAGAGAGCCTCGCCGAACCCTGTAAACAATAACAATAAGTTTAAAACAAAAACGCCCATGCAGTTCCTAAAGCAAGCCGCTAGGAGGCATGTAGTAGGCATTTCGTCGTAGCATATCGCCTAGATAGTGACTCCAGAGAGCTCGCTGCCTCACAGTCAAACAAGGGAGCCTTGCCGAACCTGAACAAAAATAAGGATATGTTTCAAACAAAGATGCCCCTGCAGTTCCCATGTAGGTCGCTGGGCGGCCCGAGGACATAAACACTTCTTTCTGGCCCCCAAAATCTATGTATCTTGTTATCTATTCTAAAAATAACGTATCTGCAGACGACCACCCCGTCTGTCCGCTCCAGCTGTTCCATACAAACACACATACATACACAACCCGCTGCAGTACCAAAGGAAAACGCTAGGTGAACAATTTTCGAACTTCACCTTTGTTTTCGCAACCACTACTCACCTACCAAACATAATAAAGATCCATTCACAGCTTTTAATACTGTTGACATGCATACAGACCACAGCCACTACACCATTGCAAAACCGAAAACAAAAAAGCACACATACATATATATATACAATCCGCTGCAATACCGTAGGGAAACGCTAGGTGAACAATTTTCAAACTTCACCTTCGTTTTCGCAACCACTACTTACCTACCAAATATCAATGAAGTTCAATTCAGAGATGTTCGTACTCACTGGACAAAATACGTGTCCAGGCTCCAGTCTCATCCGCTCGTATTCTTAAAGAATACGGCAAGAAATTGGCATATGAGTGTATCCGAAACTATTACCGGAAACATAACATTCTTGTCGAAGATAATAACCCACCTGCAGACGACGACCCCGTCCGTCCGCTCCAGCTGTTCCACCACGTGGCTGATCTCCTCCATCCGGGTCATGAGGAAACTGAAGAACCCCTCGTTAATGTTGGCCAGGATGTCGTGCATGTCGTCGGGAGGGGTGTCGTCTGACGGAACAGCCCGGTCGATTACCGTGTGAATGTCCATAAAACCTGAAGAAGATACGCAACAACAAAAAAAAACAGTTAGTCAGTTACTCAGGCAACTGGATATGACTTTGGAAACGGTCAGACGTTTCAGGTAGCATCCACTAGCTTTCCTCAGTGACACTAAGAGACTGTAGGAGAATTGTAGGTTTATATAAGCACGAATTATTGGCTAATATTGGCCAGGATGTCGTGCATGTCGTCGGGAGGGGTGTCGTCTGACGGAACAGCCCGGTCGATTACCGTGTGAATGTCCATGAAACCTGAAGAAGATACGCCAAAAACAGTTACTCAAGCAACTGGATATGATTTTAGAAACGGTCAGACGTTTCAGCTAGTATCCACTACCTTTCGTCACTGAAACCTTAAGAAGAGAGTATTTTTTTATTAGTGCTGCATTTGGAAGAAAACTGAAGAACCCCTCGTTAATGTTGGCCAGGATGTCGTGCATATCGTCGGGAGGGGTGTCGTCTGACGGAACAGCCCGGTCGATCACAGTGTGGATATCCATGAAACCTGAAGAAGATACGCAACAACAAAAAAACAGTTACTCAAGCAACTGGATATGACTTTGGAAACGGTCAGACGTTTCAGGTGGCATCCACTACCTTTCATCAGTGACACTAAGAGACTGTAGGAGAAATGTAGGTTTATAAGCACGAACTATTGATTAATGTTGGTCAGGATGTCGTGCATGGGTGTCGGGAGGGGTGTCGTCTGACGGAACAGCCCGGTCGATCACCGTGTGGATGTCCATAAAACCTTAAGAAGAAAGTAAATGTTTTTTTTTTTAATTTTTATGGATTATTTCCATTACCATTATCTATTCAATACCCTTTGTACTTATCAGTAGTAATCTTTTGTAGTACGATGTTCCCTTTAATTTTTAATGCTATATATATGTTACACACTATGGTATCTAGGCATGTCTACTAAGTTTATACAAAAAAGCACAGACAATTTTCTACCGCCCTTAAAAAGTTTCTTTACCTTTCATTTGGTATTATCAGATAGCCAGAAGACGTCGACCAATCAGAAGGCTCCATTTCCCGTTGATTATCTTTGGCTTCGCTCACTCGGTGGTTTATTCGGTGGTTATTGAACCTGACCAGGGATTATCTCACCATATACACCTCGGGGCAGGGCATTAACCCTTTATTGATCTATCGAATAAAGCTAATAGACTACAAGTCCTCACCTATTCTTTTAAACGGTCCTATTCTCTTCCTCTGTCCAGGAGTGCCCAGTCGGCCCACGGACCCTCTCGACTGCTGAGTTTTAGGTCTTGCTGAATCTGCAAAAGTGATAAAATGCTTGTTTAACGATCTGAGCAAGTTTTAGACGGATGTTGGAGAAACTAAGTTTCAGAGGGTGGAGGTTCAAACTCCGCTAGGGCATGGTGAGACATCGGGTTGCAATAGCTCATTCGGATGGTGAGTCAATTCACTTCTCGAAAAGAGTACCCGTGCCAGGGTGAACATGGCTGACAACGTGGGCGTATCGAAGTGCCACATTGCACTACTATAATGTACTTTAAAGGAAGATTTCATGCTTCACAGTTGAAGATAATTTTAACATTACGTTATAGCAACTTTTTGGTTATAGGACAGCAATGGAGTAGGGTTACTTTGTAAATAAATGGCCAGAAAAAATAATTTTTTGTGTAGTCCTGATGTTACGTAATGCAGCTTTGACAAGCAACTTGAGATATTGTAATACCCCCTCTGATGTTTACAGTAAACAAGTCGTGAAGTAGTTTGTTGATGTCCTACTTTAACTGACCAATAGAAGAAAGAGACTAGCACCTCTATTGTATCCAGAACCGTGGCTATCTAGTTTGATGCCTGATTAATACATTGTACATATATGCATGACCAGGCACGGTTCTGGACAGTCTCCGTATATAGAAGGACGTAGACTTGCCCTAGGCACGGTTCTGGATTCACGTGGACTATCCAGAAGACATGGTTCTGGATAAAGCACTATTCTGGATACAAAAACCCCCTTGCTAAGCTGTGGGTTGAGTTGTAGTCTTTGTTGGTTGTTATTGGACGGCTGCAGGCTACACTGTTTATATCAATCCGCCATACAAAGAGGTCGGAACTATTTTTATCCCACACAATCCTAGTATAAATACGCCACTATGGTACGAGGTAATGTAGACGGAAATGGCGCAACATGGCACGGGGGCCTTTTTTGTGTCGTCTTTCTGTCAAGGATTAAATATCATTCGTGGATTTTAAAGAAGAGGTTTATAAGCATGTATTGACGATTCAATTTTTTTGGCGTTTCAGCAATGCAAGAACCTCGCTTTTTATTCTGTTTCTTTTTTATAATAATATCCGGACTAGCTTTTCCTACAATAGGCAACACATTTGAACGAAAACACTTCATTGTCATGGTTATATGGAAAAAAAAAAGTATTGTCCATTCAGATCATAAATTGACACAATGAAGTTTTTGCGAGATAAAAAAGTATAAAAAAAAATAATGATAGCTTGATTGAAAGGTTTTTGTATATACTGTAGCATTGTGACACATAGTATCAATTGGTTGAAGAAGATTCCTACTATACTCATTTCCAGTGCCTCTAAAATTATGACTTGAAAATAATTTCTAGCTCTTTTAGCAAGGTTTCCTTCTTAAGCTTCAAGCTCATATGTTACGACCGGCCTTGTTTTGAGGGTCTTATGTGGCATTTTCTGCGTCGTTTTCTACGTCTCCCTGTAGGAATACACGTAGTAACGATGAGACGCAGAAACGCAGGAAAGACCACAAAAGACCCTCAAAACAGGCATCAGCTTTGGGATTACGGATTCTATCGGCGGCTTCCGCACAGATCAAAGGAACAAAGTACCTTAATACCTTAATTAGGTCACCCGTCTAGCGTTTCAAGGATAGGTGTTGATAGGTAAGATGTGGGGAAGATGGTAACATTAAAGTAATTAGGTCAAGAGACAACGTTGTGTAACGGACAGAAATGTTTCTTAACGGTGTTTTTCCCAGAGCAAATCAAGTTATGGTCATGGAAGTTTCGGTCTATGTAACCCAAAATATGTAAAAACTCTATAGCTTAAATTTATGTTCATTTTGTCAAAAACATAAACATTTTAGCCTATGTCATATACATTTTAATTTGGAAATCTACCTAGGTTAAGAGACAACGTTGTGTAAAGTACTGAAATGTTTGTTAACATTTTTCCCACCGGAAATCAAGTTATGGTCATTTAATACTTGGTCTAATTAATCCGAAATATGCAGAAACCGTAAGTTATGTTAATTTCTACAAGAATGATCAACATTTTAGCCTATTATATTGTATACATTTTTGTGGAAATCTATCGTTTATAATAATTGTGTCTAGCGTTACACTTTTCAACATTCACGCACTTGAAACATAACGTTAGCATAAAAATATAAGGGTCAAAAATGTGACATCTACCCCATCAAAGGCATATCTTTCATTTTACACAATTTGCATATTTGGGACAGCCCAATTACACACATGACTTATGAACTATAGGGATCATATGATTTGACATGATTTCAACAAAGATCATAATCCTTTACAGGTGACAGGTTTTAGCTTTCTCTAACAAAATACGCGTAAACAAAAAGACTCAGAATACTCAAGATTGTTTTCAATTAGTAACCATTTATGTAAACAAACGTCAATTTTTTTCTCCGTTCTCATGTATTACTGAATCTACTGAATTTAGGTTATCTAAATAAAAATTATACCAGAAAGGTACAATCTATTGTCGCCATCTTTGTTTAGATATAAATGAGGTTACGTTTCGATCGTATGACTCATTTGGTTCAGTGTGTCAAACGGTCACCAGGTAACGAAAATTGATTGACAGAAATTCGAACGATCGAACCATCAGGTAGAATAGAAACGTTGCGCATATCATTGGCGCTCATTAAAAGTTGCACTTTTCTATTGTAAATGTAAAGATGGTGATAGAGTCGATTTTATTCTTTTTAAAGTATTTCTGATCAAACATTGTTGAATTAGGATTAAAAAATGAAATTGAATTCTTCTTTCTAAAATCTTAATACTCAAGCAACAGGAAAGGTTTTGAAAACTGTCAGACGTTTCATTTAGCATCCACAACTTTTCGTCAGTGACCGTCCACAAAAAATTAGTAACTCATGCAACTTGATAGGTTTTAAAAACTGCCAGACATTTCAAAAAGTAACATCCACTACTTTTCATCAGTGGCGATGTTGTTGATAAAGAATAATGATACTCTATAACCTAATGTTTATACTCCACCCCAGTATGAAAGCCTGTTCTACTTTAGATTCGTGTCACCCAGAAATCGGAACGTGGCGTCATGACAACCAAAGAATAACGTCTTTCATGGGCTATTTACTCTGCGAGTATCTCTTCAATAGGGGGTAAGGCAGAAGACATGTTTTTTGGCGTCTCAAGGCCGTGTTGTATTGACACAGGTGAAAAAGGGACACACGCAAAGACAACAACCTTTTGTTTTAGGTACTGTATCCAGTCTCCTCATATGAACAGGACCGTTGGATACTGTATCTTCTGGTACTGTCTTGAAATAATATTTGTATGAGGCCATGATCATATTCTAGACTGAACAGAACCCATAGAAAATGCGTTAAGGCTTGTAGGTTGTTTAACCAAGGGCTTGGTTTGACCAACTGTGGGTCTAACCATCATTCTGATTATTGTAGAAATGTTGAGGATACTAATGTTTTTCTGCAGTGCCAACGAAAGGCGCTAGGGGTTCATAATTAACCCCGTAACTTGATTTGCCGACATAGGAAATGACATAAAGATTCATTCACAATTTCATTTAACTTTGTTTTCTTTAACGTTAAATTGCAACAAAAACGGCGATTTGAGACTTAAAGCAACTTCCTTTTTCATCTAGGCATGGTGGAAAATATTTGATCAAATCTTTATTCCAAAGATAAAGTTAAAAGATATACCAATTATCTATTTACTAATGGGTTTGGTTGTTCAAAACGCAAAGCCAGGGCAGCCCAACTGTGGCTATTGCAAAAGGCTAGCCCTGCTAAAAAGACAAACATTAAAATGGAATTTGACATGGAAAGCATATACTATTATATACCATAGGCAAGGTCTAGGCCGTTTCTAAGCGCATTGTTGGTAAAAATACTTTAGGTGACATGAACTCCCCAACATGACAACTTAAACCAGACTGTTGTGAAGAGCTATAAAACCCGTGCACTGACCCGCGGGGTCCTGTTTTCTCGCCGAGTCTCTCGTCTGTAACTTTAGACTTGACCCTTTGATGGCGACACAGTTCGTCAGGGTGAACGGCCCGCCGGACTTCCGCAAATCCGCTGAGGGTTTTCTCTTCACTCCTGTATAGAACATTATAACATAGAACATTATAACATAGAACATTAGAACATAGAACATTAGAACATTAGAACACAGAATTCGAACATGGAACATAGAACATTAGAACATTAGAACATTAGAACATAGAACACATAACTCGAACATGAAACATAGAACATTAGAACATAGAACACAGAATTCGAACATGGAACATAGAACATACATGTAGAACACAGAATTCGAACATGGAACATAGAACATAGAATATTAGAACATAGAACATTAGAACATAGAACATTAGAACATAGAACGTAGAACATTACAACATAGAACATTACAACATAAAACGTAGAACATAGAACGTAGAGCATTAGAACGTAGAACATAGAATAGAGAACATAGACCAGAATGTAGAATAGACAGAACGAAAAACATCTGTAAATGTCTGAGGTATAAGTTTGATACGCTGCAAAGCTGGTGTGTTACGTCGAAGGCCGGTCTATACAGATACAGGTACAGATAATGGTTGTTTTGGTATTTGATATTTTAGGCTATATAGACAACCACTATCAGGCTTACTTAGAATCATCAATCACGATCGGTTCATTCTTAAAAATTAAATGGCTTCCTGAGTGAAGGTTGCTTAAGGTATTAGCTTCAAGGCTAATGATCTTTGTCAGGGACACAGGAAGTCTCTATTATTGTTGCTACAAAAGGACTGTTACAGAGACTGTTATGAAATACCATAAAAATAGGTCTAAAGACGACTTCAAGGTTACATGAATAGGATTTAAACAGCATCTCCCTAAGTCAGAAACTCTCAAACTTGCGACAAGGTAGACTCACTGTGAGTGAGGACATATTCACCCAAAAGGAGAAGAACAGATTACAAAGACTGGTAGGGAACATGCATTCTCTCAGTTTTAAAATGAAAAAATCTTTTTTCAAGTGCCTTTCCAATGGACACAACATCATTCCTTGATCTTCCAGAGGTTGAAAAATCAGGAATTCTTGACTGAAATGCTCCTAAAAATCACGCCACACGCGATGTCTACTTTAATTTCCCCGTGTAAACTCTTCTTTATTCTGAAGTCTGGGGCAAAGGGCTTAAAGCACGGAGTAAGTAAACTCTCCTTTCTCCACTACAAACACAAAACAAACGTGACCCCTGCTCATAGTTACAGATCGTTTGCTTCTGTTGTCCCCAAAATAGAGGAGAAACATACGATACGGCTCTCCCTGTGTGGCCATTGTCATGTGCTGAAGTGCGGAGGGATAGACTTGGTTCTCGCGTGCCCGAGAACAAAGAGACTCCGCTAAGAGTTCATGTCCAAAGCACGCGCGGTGGCTGTTTGTGTTAGCGGCCCTTGGAGATGCTATTTGTAATCTGTAGTGGTTTAGAAAGAGCACTAACTAGTTACGAGATACATCTAGACGATAAGAATTTCGAAGTATGTCTTTTTAGTTCTAATCCAGCGAAATCATTAAATTTTGTCATATTCTTTTGAGGCCCTTGGAGATGCTACTTGTAATCTGTAGTGGTTTGGAAAGTGGAGGAACTAACTAAGAGATACACTTAGATGATAAGAAATATGTCTTTTTAGCTTTTTTATTCCAACATTTCATGACCAAACATGGTGACGGCACACTCAAGTTATATCAACTTATTTTATGCCGCCACCTACGCAGAGTACAAATGCATGACAGGACAATACTCATTTTCACTTGAGTTAAGTGAGGAAAGTCGTGTATAGTGCCTTTCCCAAGGGCACAAGATTGTTGGCATGTCAGGACTCGAACCCGGGACCTCTTGGTTCCGCCGCGTGCCTGCGAAGCTGGTGTGATACGTGGAAGGGCAGTTATACCGGCTATGTAGATACAGATACAGATTTATTAGACTTCTTTAGCTTAGGATGTCCTCAACTGATTAAGTGTAAAAAGACTACTGCTATTAATTATGTAAATACATGTACCAACGTCATTTCTTGCTGTTCAAATTTATCTAGCTAATTTGAAATCCAAAACGCACGCTCATCGGCCACGTATATGTCACCTCATTCTGCAAAGTTCCTCCTTACAAAAGATCAATTTCTCGTTCGAAATTACCCTTAAACAAAGTTATGTCGTCTTTGTGCGAATGCCCTTAAGGGCAAACCTTGTTTGTAAGCGTTTACATAATGAAGTGTGGACAGCTTTGAAGTCTTTTGTACCTTCATAAATCTAGAAAACCTTGTTGACATATCCGTCTGGACTTTAACAATGACTTCGTCTGGAACTAATTAATTATGTTAACCTAACAAAGGACTGAAAAGGGCAACTAACTCCAACGTAACCGTCCTTCGGTAAATAATAACTGTCTTTCACCCCCTACGAAGGTACCACATGCAAACATTGTACTTAATTAAAGTCATAGTTAATCTCCCAATACAACTATGGATGGCAACGTACGTTGTCTTGTGGTTAGGGTTTTAACTCAATATCTGAAGGTCCTGGGTTCGAATCCCTAGCAAGCCCAAATTTTGTGTCCTTAGGTTCAATCCTTACAGTCTGGTCTCAGGTTTGACATCTTGAAAATGTGATCGCCAACTTATATGTCAATCCCTGAGCTGAGAAATGTCGAGAAATAAAGACTACTGTGGGGTCGTGTGGGGTAACGATAGTGTTCGCCTCAAAACCAAGAGGTCCCGGGTTCGAACCCTGCCGTGCTACCGATCTTGTGTCCTTGGGAAAGGCACTTTACATGCCTTTCCTCACTGCACTCAATTGAAAATGAGGATTGTCCTGTCATGTATTTGTCCTCTGGGTTGGTGGCGGCATAAACTTTGATGGTGTCGTCACCACGTCTAGTCATGAAATGTTGGAATAAAAAGAAATGTGTGATAAATCTCGATGAACATATACTACTGTCGTACCTGGATACACGATGCTTGACGTGCCGGATATCCTGGGGTTGGACCGCGCGTACGCTCGCACCTCCTCGGCCAGCAGCGCCAGGTTAGCCCGCTCCAGGGCCAGACACAGCTCGTCTGGGGAGGCCGCGTCTCCCTGTTTGTGCTTCCATAACAGGAGCATCTGCTGCTTCTGTGGGTAAACAAAGAAAAAAAAGACTTTAGATAACGTTACGTCAAAAATTATTTACAAAATATACATATAACAAATGTGTCTTCTATAGCAGGAGCAGCTGCTGTTTCTGTGGGAACAAAATAAAAGTTTGACATTTTATAACTCAAACATCATCTCAATGACAGGTCACTATGTTCCTTACTACTTGGAGGGTCCACATCACTTTCACACCTACAAAACTGTAATGTTTTTGATGTAGTTCAAAACTTCATTTACTGTACGCGTAGATTCTCGTCATACATAAGCCACGCCCCGTGTTCGTGTGTTCTATGTGTTCTATGTGTTCTATATGTTCTATATGTTCTATGTGTTCTATATGTTCTATGTGTTTTATATGTTCTATCATGTGTTCTATATGTTCTATGTGTTCTATATGTTCTATGTGTTCTATATGTTCTATGTGTGTTCTATGTGTGTTTTATACATCCTTCTATGTGTTCTTGCCCGGTTGATCTTTACCTGAGCCAGCAGGTCTCCGTGGTTCTCGTACGCCAGCGCGGCGAGATCCTCGTCATCCAAGCCGAGCAGTTTGGCTAGCGGTTTCCAGTCACACTGCTTCAGCTCCGAGGACACGTCACGCAGGACTTTGTCAAACTCTGACATCGGGGGATCTGGTAAAAACAAACACAGGAACATTCATAAGTCTACAGACAGATATGAATATCCTCTACCAGGCTTCAGAAGCGGCTGGAAAGAGAAGAAATTGGCCAAATAGACAGACAACATGCCAGGACCATAGGAGTACAGTTTGCTTGCTCTTTAGCACGTTTTAAGGTGTCACTGTGACTTTGTATTGGTTCAAGGTCCAGCTATTAAACCTTGCGACACTAATTCCTACATGATCACAGAAAACACGTTTTAGTAGTCCACACTTACACTCTAAACATTGACTTCCACCTTAGTTTGACGCTAAACCCTACTCGGTCACCCACAACACGTTTTCTGGCCACAATCTTAGAAGCAAAACATTTGTACGTGATAAGTTCAGAGAGGCAGACCCTTACCAGCTGGTACCCAATATTGACGGAACCAAATCCTGTAAACATCCATGCCTGACGATTTGAAATAGAACTTCTCCTAGAATAGAACTGAGTCATTGCGAAGTGACATATCTTGCAATCCGGGGGATTTTTTGTTTATCTTGTTGAAGACAAGTCTCTACCAGGCTTCAGAATCAGCTGGAGAGAGTAGAAAAAATGGCCAAATAGTCAGAAAACATGTCAGGAGAGTTAGCCTAGCCTCTACCAGGCTCTAGAGGCAACTGGAAAGAGTAGAAATGGACCAAAAAGACAGACAACATGCCAGAGAGTTAGTCTAGCCTCTACCAGGCATCAGAGGCGGCTGGAAAGAGCAGAAATTGGCCAAATAGAAGGATAACATGCCAGGGGAGTACTCACTCTCTCATTTGTCCAACATTTAATTACCATGCCTTCATTAATTAAACTGCTAATTATTGCGATAGGCATTCAGAATCGTTTTCTTATTACTATACTATGAAAAAATATGTTGTGGTTGATAAATTAGTATTCCTTCCAGACCAATTGAACCTGAACGTCAATGTTGTTATGTCTTACTGCGAGTATGGTTTCTGATTTCGTCCCAAAAGGCTTACACAAAACCCAAACAGGCTGAACCCTATACACCAGCAACAATGCTTACCTATGGACCCTGTTCCAACGGTTAGATATTATGTGTATATGTTCTAGCTTTCCAATGTACTTTGTTATGTCTGTATGGCAGTGGTGTATACATAGCAAAGAGCCACGTAACATAACAATCATTTTAGATGGAAACGACGTAAACCTCCAAATGATAAGGTTCGAACAGGGTCCGGGTATATTCGTAGTACAATCGCCGTATGGTCGCAAACTGTGGTGGGATGGTTGTACATATGTCGTACAAACTGTCTTGTTTGAAAAAAAGACGGTCTACGATGACTGTTAATATGGTATTGTAGGCCCAATTTGTAGCTGAAAATTTCCACGATAAAGTATTCGATCTTGAGAAAGAAGCTCACAGAAAAGAATATAAGTTTGGAAAAATCTTTGGTGCTTCCTCAGCGATATCAAGATGTATGCACAAATCTATGACATAGCCTCGTCCCCGCTATAGAAAATATTGGACTCTCCCTAAAAGAAAACTAACAAGCGATTGAGTGGCAAATACATTTTTAATTTTCAAAGACATTTGGGGGAAATATTTAATCCTTTTTTAAAATATGAAAAAAATGTGTGACCAAATCTATGATCTCAACTCTACCCCTACAAATAGCAAATATGGGCGCTCCCAGTATATACAAAACGACCTCTCGGTCAAGTGGCATGAAAAATCACTTCTGTCACCTCTGCTGACAGTTTCTGTGTTCTACTGTTGATAGTTTACAAACGAGATATTTGTTCTTACCTGAACACTCCCTGTAATAACACAGGACTGAATAATCTCACTGCTACAGGGAGGGGCACGTTTTGTACGGACTTCTCTTCAATTAGAACCACGTTTGTGTTAGATAAACTATTAGGATAAACCCAGAATATACACAGGGTTGATTACTATTCAACGGATGTGTTTTAGGTACACACTGACCACGTTAAAGCTACCGAGATCTGAGAGCCACAATATGATAGCAAACCCTTTTCCAAAGCTGTTTCTAAAGCTTTTGTAATTTATAGATACCCTATAATAAAATAGCACAGTACGTATTTAGCCTCCAAACCCCAGTTCTATAAGCCTGCTACGGCTTATGTCAAATGCCAACCCCTACTTTCTGAGCTCTCACAATGTCCTGACCTAAACCAAAAGGCTAATTGGTATAAGATAAACTACCATTATTTACTTTTGGCCTGTCGGAACGGTAAACATACTGGTTGTGTAAATGTCTGAGATTGAAAGAACTAAGTATAAAACTTTGCCAAGTCATCGTCCAGGTTCCATCGTCTAGTAAATGCATTGCTCTTTAAATGCGCAGTTGCTAAAATCTCAAACGGGCCATCTTAATTCTTCTTTATTTATAGCCATCAAACTAGTTGTAAATAGTAACGGTATGGGTCAAAATGTATTCTACAAAGACTCCACAAAGGTATGCATACTTCAGATGTCCACGATAATCTTCAGAAGGTCTCGAAAACACTTTTTATCGTAGAGATCTTAGGGTACTTTGTGGAATTATATAAAAGTTGACGTTAACTTCTTGGTGAATCAAATATAGACCGTTCCTGATCGAACACTTTAAGCTCCAACCCGTGTTCTATGTGTTCTAAATGTTCTGTTTCGAACACCTCCATCAAAATCAGAACTGGAAGCGTGTTCGAAACAGAACAGGTGGTTCTACGTGTTCGATCAGGAATGGGCTTTCTTGGAAGCGGACACAATGCGCCTGAAGTGTATCAACAATGACAGAAAGAGGTCAAGCGACATAAGGGTATGAAATATTAATTCAAAAATCAATGTTAGGAATATGAGCATCATTATCGATAATTCTTATGGGTATATTGAGAGACGGCGGGGACAAATTTGAACATTAAAAGTGTTTAATGGCTTCCGAAAGAGAAATAGACACTATATTTTATAACGTGTTAGAATGGATCATTGCAAAAAGACTTTTGTATGTAACTTAGTACGAAAAGAACATTTATGCATTTCGCACACACCTACTGTGCTGTGAATACCTAATAGAAAGGTATAGGCACATGTTTAAACCACTTCAACACTTTGGACAGGTGTTTAAATGTATGGGGAGGTGGGAGCTACTCAGAACAATTACAAATACCTGTCTTTTGTTTTGTCCTGTTCCTCTATTCCCTATGGGAAGAAGACAATTATCTATTTCATTTGTTCAGCAATGTATCTTCTACCAACTGTCACATTCTTTTTCTCTCATCATGTCTTTTCTTACGTGTATTATCTTGAGAGAAAGACTCCTTTCAAGTAGGTACACATTATCTAAAGACCTAAATCCTAGGACTTAAAACCTGTTCTTATGTAGTGGCCTACTTACAAGTAATTACAGCATTTTCTGCATGGACGACATACATCATAATTATGCACTGCAAATGACTTGTGGAAACATTTTACCGAAAAATACACTAACGTCTAAAATTTTTCCGTCTAAAGTTTAGAATAGACAGCTAGATACTTTGAAAATTATATTGTAGGGTTGATTTTCACTGAGTTGATTTAAGTAGCCTCCATAGCATGGTAAAAACTGAAGATTTTTGTGGGTCTTCAGGGTCTTTGGGATCTTTTATGTGCTATTTTCTGATTGCATATAGACAACATAGCCGGCCTGGTTGAATTACCCCCGTTTTTAGAACTAGGCTAATCAGAAAACTGCCGAAGACCACCAAACCCCCAGTTCTATAAGCCTGCTACGGAGGTTAATATTTAAGGTGCACGAAGCAGTTACTGTGTTAAACTTTGGTACTGCAACTTGTTTAACGTGTTAAGGAATGACTAAATTGTCCCATAGGAATATATTACACACGGTCCAGTCGCTATCCCTAGGGGTATATAAGGTTCACACGCATTTGTATGATGTTGGTAGCACCACTGAGAAATCAGCCAGTGATCTTTCGTGCAAACTGGGCATCTTTTATATCGGCGAGCTGTCCGAAGTAATTTCGGTTGTGACAGTTCATAACAGTTCGTTGTCACATCATCTGGTGATTTGTTTTAACTATTCGTGCTAGCAGTGCTAATATGTCTGTTGGATTGTTTTGACGGGTATTGTTACATATTACACAACTGATTTTGTAATATTGTTGGAGGCCGAAAAATTCGCCTGGAAAGGTGCGAATAGACGTCAAATTATCTTTCTCTTTACCACACTTTGCGTAAATGTCTTCTTGATATAAAAAAAACAAGAGACACACATACAAAATAATCTTTAGCACATTTTCGTCAACATCTCATATTTGAAGTGTTTGAAATAGCTCCTTGATTCAAGTTACCACATTAAAATTTATTTTATAACTCAAGCTTTAAATTTACCACCCTGAAATAACTTTAGGTGCATTCGCCAAACGATGTAGCTTGGATACATTTATTTGTCTGGTATCTATCCTTGCCCTACAGATATTATATTCAGTACGTTTGTTTGAAATTCCTATAGTAATTGTACTCGTACCAACGTGGCCAAAATGCACAATGCCGGTAGTCATAAATTACTGTATCTAAATTTCATTTACATACCGGTACTTATCTTTGAATCATACAGACATTATACTGTTTTATGAAGAAAGTTTCAACTGTAATTTCCAACACAAGAAATTGGACTTTCGACCCAAATTTTCGACTGTTGGAAACTTGCGTCATCACGACTCCTACCCACACAGATGAACTTTCAAGATAATATTATACTGTTTCATTCTTCTACATTGTGGGTCATAATTTGTCTCTATAAAACCTTCAATTCGCTGACAGAGTGATTTATACGTATTAGATGCTGAGTGAAAGAAATTGTGGTGAAGCATTTTCTGATTGCTTTCAAAATTACCAACACTTAATCATCATTTAATGCTCTAGTGCTTCGGTATGTTGTCGACACATTTGAATTTTAAAACAGTTTTCTGTGTTAGCTTAGTATATGTTATAACTGGAGAGAAAGACAGGGGGAGAGCATTTAGTTTGGAAATGGAGACAATGAAGAGGTTTGAAGGTACATACATTATATGTTAAATGCCTTAATGTGCCGGTATGTTGTCGACAAATCACTAAACAGTTTTCTTTGTTCACATGACAGATCTTATGATAAAAGAGAATTAGAGAGCTATATAGAAAAAGAGAGAAAAATGTATTTTTGCACCATTAATGAGGAAATGGAGAAAAATGAGGAAGTTTGACACCACATATATTATATATTAAGTGCACTTAATGTGCCGGTATGTCGCCGTGTTACATACTACATCTTAAGCTTATGGCTAGAGAAAAACACAGAGAGAAAGAGATAGAAAGAGAGAAAAGGTGTCTTTTTGCACCATTTAGTTAGGAAATGGAGAAATATGAGGAAGTTTGACGCCACATATATCATATATTAAATGCTTCAGTATGTTTCCGACACAATGCAGTTTTCTGTGTAACATGCTAGACCTTATAACTGGAGAAAGAAAGATATATAAATAGAAAGAGAAAGACAGAGAAGTCTTTTTTGCACCATTTAGTAAGGAAACGGAGAAAAATGGAGAAGTTTGACGCCACATTCCGAGCTGTCAGACGTTTTCTTTCGTCAAGTAAGGAGAACCGGTGTCGCATGTCATCGCCAGACACGGCCGCCATGATGGGTGACCACACCGCCACCCTCAAAAAAGAAGGAGAAACTTCTGACAGAAAAACGTCAAGACAACGCAACAATTCCTACCTCTCCCGGCCCTCGACACTCCAACCGCCCCTTCTAGAGCCATAGTCCGTCTCCTAGGTAACGTTGACACGAGCCATAGCGCGGGAAAAATCCACAGAAAAAAAGTCGTCCGAAACTCCACTGACAGAAAACGTCGTCTGATTTTCCTGTCACTCTGTAGTGAGACTGGCCGTGCCTCGCGGGTATACCTGTAGGACCCGGCGTCGATATACAATAACCCAACTGTTTATAGTTCTGTACTCACTCGATACGCCCCTTGTATATCGCTTTCCTGCTCACCTGAATGCCTGTTTAGAAAGACCGGCCGTGTAACGTTTCGCTCCGCTTTTGTGTTTGTTCAAAGGGGCTTAGAACAAACGTGCAGTGCACAGAACGGCCTTACGTACTGCTAAGCATGGTTAAGGGAAGGACCCCTGGGCTAAATTACGTACTGCGCATGTATGTGGGCCTGCATGCCAGTTTTCGTGAGGTGTAATCAGGCCTTTTTAGTCTTCGTAGTCTGTAGGCAGCCTCCCCCAAAATCCCCCGTAATAGTACATTAGCCGCAAAGCGTAAAGTCGTAATCAGCTCTGAGACTTTAACGTAATATATTCGTAATCGGCGGCTAAAAGTTTGCGTCATTCGTAATCAGTATCCCCCCATACAGGTCCTCCTGAAGTGTTGAAGTCACGTGGGAACAGGTGGTTGGACGTCTCGGACGCACAAGTGAAGGGATGACGTCATGACGACTTGCGTGACGAGTCGGGGTTTAAATTTGTTGACAAAACGAACTGTCAGGACAAGAGTGACAGATGACTAAATGTTGACCCTAAGAAATGCCACAACGACATGCCCGCCTTGGATCAGTTTTACTCGATTTGTAAAAAGATATATAGATCCTTTTCTGTTAAAAAAAGTCAACAAAAAGAGCCACAAGTTACGGTATTTTTAAATGAGTTGACAAAACGAACTGTCAGGACAAGAGTGACAAATGACCAAATGTTGACCCTAAGAAATGCCAGAACTACATGCCCACTTTGGAGTAGTATTACTCAATTTGTTAAAGATATATATAGATCTTGGAGCACTTTTACTCAATTTCTTAAAGATATAGAACGTTAGAGATCTTCTTTTGCTAAAAGATCAACAAGAAGACCCGCAAGTTACGATATTTTTCATGTTTGTAAAAGGATAAAACTGATACCTTCTGTTGCTACAATCAGCCTTAAAAGATTCAACAGTATCTAAGATAGAAAAAAGCCACTGTATAAAGGTTGAAAGGAGACAGTTGGTTATTTTAGACTACATTTCTGGTCTTAATTAAAAAGAGTGTGTCACAAATGAATTACAATAAAAAAAGATAGCAAAATATATGGATTAATTTGCTGTTAACCAAAACAGGAAATCTTAAAAAAACGAAAAATACTTACCTGGTTACTAGTCTTAATGCTAGATATCTCACGTAAGTAGATGTCGCAAATCGTATAAAATGTATCACCTACCAACAGTAGCAATCCTGGGGTTCTATGGTGGCGAACATTTTGTTGCAAATTACATTAAACCTTTGGCAAACTCGCTGTAACAAGTTCGCATGTTCAAGGGTGTGAGAAATGGGCTCGCTAAGTCAAATACAAACACCGTAAGCCCTTGAACTTTGTCGTATTTGCTCCCCTGTCACAGAAAAATTTCACAAGTACAAACAATGTACAAAGGTTTTATATAATTAGTTCTGAGGGCAACGGACAATGCAAATACTACGTGAGGAATAAACTCTACACAAAAAGTGAGTAAACCTGATTTCGGGTGTACATATTTCCGTTGCTATTTTGTCAATCGCACTTTATCATAAGATTCTTAACTGACACAACAAAGAAGTACAGGGACTTTTTTATGGTCTTCTACAACTAAAGATCTAACAAAGCTAAATACATGTGTGGACAACGTCATCTTACGTACAGAGTATATGTATGCGGTAACAATGAAGGTTTAACTATTCTCTAACATGTGTTCTCTATTAAAGATCGAAACATTCTTTAATGTATTTTCCTATTTGAACAATGTATTGGTTATATCCCCTGAAAATAAGTTGAATTTATCCATAGGATCTAACGTATTATATATCTTTGGAAAGCTTATTCATTATCCTTAATATGATGATACCCCGTTTGCTATGGTTATGCATTGATAGATTGCTCAAATATGCGGAACTAAAAGTGTCCTGAACGATTATATGTACAATTTGCGGAGAGGAGGAAAGAGAAATAGGTTTGGACATCAACAACATGTTTGGACACCAGCCTATACTTTCAGACCGTGGCACGCTATAGCTGCGTGCAATTTATTTTTAAACCGCTAGACGCCGCTATTGAGCAGAACACCACCATTCCCCCCCCCCCCCAAATATCGGTGATAATCTAAAGTTTCTACACTACTAGGCAGACAAGGGGATGCCTTTTTCCAAAACATTATAATAATTGTATTTCCTCATAAAATAAATAACTTTTAATATTGTTTAAACGAGACACGGCCTCTTAAAATTCTTGGTATTAGAGTTAGGGTCAGGGTTAGAGTTGGGACCCTTTTCAGCGCTAGGGTTAGACTTACGATTGGGATTAGGTTAGGTTTAGTCTCCCACATCACGACTAAACCTCTCCCACCCCTTGTCTCAGATACAGTGGAAACCTCGAACTAGTGTCGGAAATGTATTTCATGGTCATGTATAATATGACATGACACCGGGCTCTGGATATTCGTAAACTTTGACCATCCAGAAATATCCACTAAACCATCCAGAACCGTGACTGAGCTTTGGGGTTCTGGACTCAGTCAAAGAGCACGGTTCTGCATAAACCAATAGGTACACAGTCCGTGGGACTTTCCGTAGGTTTCGGCAAGTGGACTTTGACACTCGAAACTTCGAACCAAACGTACATCATTGACTAACATATATGTTTTCAAATACAATATACGCATGATTCAGCACGAAAAGGGATTCACATACTGGTAAATGACACTCAGAACACTTGGTATTATATAATTACTAGATAAGGATTCACGTGGATTGGACCGAAAAGCGATACATACTCAGCAGTCACAAATTGAATATAGAAACAGGAAGATATTACAATGTAGCCCCTGACCAAAGATTTTGCCCATTTTGCCCACAGAAAATCGAAGATGAATTTCATTTTATCATGGAATGCTCTAGATATGATGTCCTACGTGATAATCTATTCAAATATCTCACTTCAAATACGACAGATTTCAATAGACTTGTTGCTACAGATAGATTTGATTATATATTTAAATGCAACAGCGAACACAATGCAAAAATAGGTAAATACATAAAAGACTGTTTTGTTATTAGAAAGATTACTGATTTGCTGTCACATGTACTCATAGATAACTCCGCCTGATTGTAAAGCCTAAGCTAACTTTTGATTATTTCTTTTCTATATATAAGTTGTTAAGTTTTATTCTATACCTATCTATTTTACTATGCTACTTATTGTTACCTACTAGTATTTGCCATACAATGTACCCTGTACAATTGTCGTGCAATAAAGTTCTTCTTAATCACCGCACAAGTTACTTAGTAGTACTCATTTCGTATCAGGGTGAACCGTGCCTCCGAATAATCTGCTTAAAGATTACAGTCATGTATTGTATATCCAGACACAGGCACACAGTCCGTGGGGCTCGTTTCGCATCATGTGCACTTTTTAAGCGGACTTTAAAGTTTACAATCCTCTCCCTTATCGAACATGTGATGTTTTCAGGCCGTGGGGGCGGTACGAAACACTGACTATTGACTCTGTGTAGAAACTCCGTCAGTCCGAAACTTTGTCAGTCCAAATTCCAAACTAGCTTTAGCCAATCAAATGGCTTGAAACTTATCTATTAAGTACATCCTGAGCTGTGATTGGCTAGGCGACATAGTAGCATGATCCTGATGATGTAATGCGTAGGAACTGTACAGTATATAAAGCCGCAAACAACTGATTGTGCTTTATCACTAGCACTGTGAACGGTGTCCTAGGTGTACCCTAGCCTGGGTGCAATCCGTTTTGTAACGTTACAAGACGGGTGGCACCCAGGCTAGCCGTACCCTCATCCAAGGCTCTAGCCTCAGGTAAGTGGAAATCTCATGATTAGTCATGCATTTCTTGTGTTTCTTCTTGTATCCTTAATTGTAACGTCAGTATATTATATATACTCCTGTCATGTAGATTGATTTTCATAAAATTGGAAATTGTAAATGTAACGGTGAGGTCGTGTGGCGTAGCGGCAGAGTGCTCGACTCGGAACCAAGAGGTCCTGGGTTCGAGTCCTGACTTGCCACCGATCTTGTGCTCTTGGGAAAAGCACTTTACACAACTTTCCTCACTTAGCTCAGGTGCTCACGACTTTACTCACTTAGCTCGTTGGGAAAAACACTTTACACGACTTTCCTCACTTAGCTCAGGTGAAATGAGTATTGTCCTGTCCTGTATTTGTCCTCTGCGTTGGTGGCGGCATAAAATAAGTTGATATAACTTGAGTGTGCCGTCACCATGTCTATGTCATGTGAAATGTTGAAATAAAAAAAATGTACCGTTCGCATGTACATGTATATTATGCGTATGTATTTGCTACTATACTACTACTATACTGTGTTTTCTGCTTTTTTGGAAACTTGAGTATCCTGTATGCTGTGTGTTGCCCTGTTGCCCTACTATACTGCTTTACACTGTAGTACAATTTCCGAAAATAATTTGGTATTGTGTTCTCGCTGCAAAAGCGCCTACATCGGCTACATATAGCGGCGAGAAGCAGAACTCCAGTCAGAAGCTCTGAAGAAGGTGTCTGATAGACATGGAAACGTCAGCACTTTATAGGTGAGAAATCTTGGTTGATCCTGTATGCTATGTCAATGGACATTTTCTCAGATCAGTGTAACGTGCATGTAACAATATTATTAATGTGCCAAGCAAGACAGCCTTGAAAAGGTTAAAAGATCAAGATAAATACACGCTGGTTTGATTCGATACACACACACACACACACACACACACACACACACACACACACACACACACACACACACACACACACACACACACACACACACACACACACACACACACACACACACACACACACATACACACATGGACACATCCAAAACAATACCTTCCTTTTAAGTCACGGAGGTAAGCATACATTTCATATCATGGTGCATTATTTTACCATGTCCTCAGACATCCCCAGTGATGCCAGGGCGGTGAAATGCAGCTCCAGACACGATGTTGCTGTCAGGACGACCAGTGAGCCATGATCAGCCGCTGTAGTCGTCATTGTCTTCACCGCATATCGTACTGCTGATCATGAGGCCATCATTGCCTTTCAGTTTCTTAAGCCCGGTTTACACTGGGCAAAATAAATCTGTCGGGCGTCGTTCGACGCATTTATTTTGCATATAGTGTAAATCGGGCCTTATACTTATTCTCAGCCACTGTCACTCCGTCCTATATATTATTTAGCCAGATGAATGGATAGGACCCGTACAATGTTGTGTGGCTACGGCAGGGGCCACACGTAGAAACTACCTGCCTGAAAAAAAACTAAAAACTTTAAAAAAAACTGAGGATGACATCAAGAGTGACAAGTCCTTTCAAAACTAAAGAAGCGGTTAACACCTTGGTAATCTTATGTGTGAAAGAGTTTTGTGATATAAATGCCTGTGTGCACTAGTTAACGATGAAGCGTTGGCCAGTGAGGGACATGTTCGCATACGTGCAACTATGTCTATACCATTGTACAACAGATTGTGACTGTGTGAACGGAACTGTTTGTTGGAACGACTCAAATACACAATTTTTGTCATCCTATACTTGACTACGAGTGTTTTTTATGATGGTTGTTCCTAAATATGACGGTTAGGTACGTCGATGAGGGTTAGACACAGTTTAGCTGTTAGTATCATGTATGTAACCGTATGATATAAGTAGATTGGTAGTAGCTTTAATAGTGAATGAACTTTTAATATTGCACAACAATCGTACAAGGTACAATGTATGGCAGTACTACAACACTAAACTAGTCTAGAGAAATACATCAAAAACATGTCCAATAACAGGTAGGTAACATAGTGTGTTGATATATAATTATGTATTAATTATTTGATCTCGCATATGTAATGAGCTATGGAGAAATTGACCTATGTAAACAGAAATAGAGGTTGGGCATGATAACAATACATGGAACATATCGAGCTGTGTATCAGGTAGTATGAGGTCCGTCTTAGTAGTTATATTCTGTAATAGCACATCTCTTTCTTTACTATAGGTAGGACAAGTCATAACAAAATGAAATTCATTTTCAACATTTAGATTACATGTGGGACACAATAGTAGCCCCCCCAAGCCTGGCCGACGGTACTCGTAATCTCCAAGCAGATCGTGGCAAAAGACAGTATCAAATTGGCCAGACAGTATCTATTCGCCAGAGAGGTGGCGTACGTTATTGGACTCTCTCTGGCCAATGGATACTGCCTGGCCAATTTGATACTGTTTTTTTTTGCCACCCTAGGATCTGCTTGGAGATTATGGTATACTGTGGCTAGAGATTTTGGTCGTACCACGTAACCCGCAGTTGTAATTTTAGTCGCAAGAGGACGCCATTGCTTAACGTCTAGATTTTCAAAAGGCAGAAACTTTGACAGGGCGCCCTTTCTCCTTTCTTTTGCTTAAAGGTATACCAAGACATTCAGGGAACAATGTAGAAGAGGGGAAAGTGGAGATAAAAACTAGCATGTTATCTGTCTACTTGGCCAATTTCTTCTCTGTCCAGCCGCTTCTGAAGCCTGGTAGAGGCTAGCAAAGAAAATACAGCGCGCAAGAACTTACTCTCCAAGCAGAGCTTTGGGTTTTGGATTATGTTTGGCGTGTTTGTGTTTTTAGGCTTTTTTTTTATCAGGGTTTCTTTTTTGCACTGGAATTTTTGTTCCAGATACCAAAACCCAAACCTCTGCTTGGAGAGTACAAGTAGCAGTCTACCAGGCTTCGGGAGGCGGCTGGAAAGAGTAGAAATCAGCCAAACAGAGAGATAACATGCCAGGGGAGTTTGTCTGCTGGGAGAGAACATGCTATCTCTCTATTTTGTCGATTTATACTCTTTCCAGCCGCCTCCCGAAGCCTGGTAGAGGCTAAAGTTCAAGAACTCTCGCAGCCAGCAGCTCTCACAGCCCGGTTCCCAAATCTCGCGAGAGCCCGTACTTCACGCGAGAGTGCAGTCGGGCTAGCCTTCGACGTGGTGAAAGCAAGCGGTTGTCATCTAGAAATTCCCCCACAAATTCGGCAGCACCTAGAGGCGGTACAGAAGAGTTAAACATGGCAGGAGACGAGAAGCAAGTACGCAAGAGAAACGTCGAGAAGTCCGACGCAAAAAACGGCAAGAAATCCAAAGGTAAGCGCCTTAAAAAATATAAAAGTAGGTTGTTCTAGCAAGAGTTGCAAACGCGGCAGTAGACTGGGCGAAACCATTTTTTCATAGGTAGTTCGTAACCTTATTTTCGATTTCACACAACCACAACAAAACTTTTTAATCGAACAAGTTGTTTCTAATAGACCTTAATAGTTTCTGTCAGAGTGATAGATTACGATTCCATGTCCTTGCGTAGAGTTTGATAGTGTTTGTGACCGTTTTGGAAGGCAGGAATTTCACAATATCCCCCCTGTGACGTGGTCACTCCCGAATATGGCTACGTTGGCATTCCCAGTATGTGTTGTGCATGTGTCAATTACGTATAATTTAAACCGCAGTTTCTAAACTTGACCAAGTGTTTCGTGCATCGAGTTTTGATCTCGCAATAATTGGAATAAGTGGCTAAGAAGGGTTTATAGGGTTAAGGGTTTATTTTTTCTTGCAAATATTATTTGGAACTGGAACTGTGGAAGTTATTTAGGTTTAATAGGCTCAAAATAACTTGTGTAAATTATTTTTGCTGTGTATTATGTAATACATGGAATCATATACTAGTTTTGTGTTTAGATTATAGAAATGTTCTTGTTTTCTCCTTGTAATTGTGGAAGCAAATGCGCAATTTTGTTTGCAAGGACCAGTGATAATGTACTGTAGATCTTGAAATATTTGCACTAGTTTTTATTTCACTGTGTGTGACCCCTGTGCTACACAGAGTTTGGTGATACGGTATCCTCTACCAGGCTTCAGAAGTGGCTGGAAAGAGTAGAAATTGGCCAAATAGACAGATAACATGCCAGGGGAGTTGGTCTTCTTGAGGCAGTATCAGAGCGGCAAACTGTACTTTAATGTAGTGATAGTGAACCAACTCCCCTGGCATGTTATCTGTCTATTTGGCCAATTTATACTCTTTACAGCCACCTCTGAAGCCTGGTAGTGTGAGGCTAGTGATTCTGGTCAATGGTCAGTAGGTTGCATTTCCTATAAAGTGTAATATGATCTTCCTAATGTCAGAGGACCAGTACCAGTACTGCTATCCAGATGTGGCCTTCTTACTAAAAAAGTGGCAGATTAACTACCAAGATTGACTACTGGGTCACTTATGGTTTAATAGTTCACTGTTGGCCAGAATTTATCGCAAATATAAATTTTGCAGATAATAATTATGTTAACGCCTTGCCCAGTGTATATTATGATTAATTATCTTATGATAAAGAAGAAACCATAGGATATCCAGAAAAAGAAGTAAAAGAAAGTTATGAGTAAAAGACAGAAAGAAGTAGAAGCTATACAACTGTTCAATTCTGGTATATATTTCCATGTTAAAAGGCCACGCCAATGCTACAAGGTTTGACTTTTAATTTTTTTTTGCACTCAAAATTTCACCAACAGATTTAAAAGCTTAGCCGTCAACAATGATTAAAGAAGAATTTAATCTTCTTGACAATGATTATGTTGGATTTGTAAAAATTCTATTAGATTTAGCAAGGAGCTTATAAGCTTGGATTTAGCCATTATTCACTTAAAAAGTTGATAAAGGTCTGGGACATTTTGGTCATTTACATCCTGGAAAATTGAGATACAGATCATTGTTTGTTTTGTCTGTGCTACTTATTCACACAAAATATGTACATGTAAATAAAAAACGGTATTATTAAAAGGAGCAAAAGGAAACAAAGAAACTAATACATATTGATTAAATGCGTAAGCAAGAGCAATTCACTATGGACAAAAAACATAATGAGTTGTCACTTATGAAAAGGAGTGGGATTTGACTTCAACTTGAAATTTCTGTTGTGTGTTGTTCTTAGCCTCCGTAGCAGGCTTATAAAACTAGGGGTTTGGTGGTCTTCAGCTGTTTTCTGATAAACCCAGTTCTAAAAACGGGGGTAATTTAACGAGGCCGGCTTTGTTGTCTATATGCAATCAGAAAATAGCACATAAAAAGCTTCCAAAGACCCTGAAAACCCCCAAAACCCCCAGTTTTTGGCATTCTATGGAGGCTATGTCTTTTATTGTTCAATTGAATCAAGGAAACCATGAAACTGAATTCCTTTGTTGCATATCAAACACTGAAACAGTTTATTTGGTCCACAGTTAATTTGTTTTTCACACCTAGATGTTTGTTTAAGTAGAATAATAAGTGATAACGACGAGACAGTTTGCAAACATGCGTGGCGTGAACGCAAAGTTTTCACCCCTTCTTGGTGTGAACGAAATCCTTGGTGCAAACAACAGTGTTAGTATAAAGTTGTCCAGCCAGTTTTGTATGTCTTTAAAAAATAATGTAAATCTAAATACATTTGCTTTTGCATTGACATTATTTCATGGTATGAGGAAAAGGAAGGTTTTTGTTGTGTTTGTTTGAAGTTCACATTTGAAACAATTCTGTAGTACAAAAAATTATTGAAATACAAAATTCATATTCGTGATGTCATGATTTTGCATAAGAGGTCACAGTGAAAACTACAAAACTAAAACCGCTGCAAAATTTCTGAATTTACGGTATCCAGCCAGCTTTGTGTATCTTGCCTCTTGATCAAACAAACTTCCAGACCACCTTGGGGTTTAGCAAATTGCCGAGTTTGCAAACTCTTCTAGTATAGAGGATTTTTTGTTCAACTTGTTTGAGTTCTACTCTAATATCGAGGTAACAGTGGTATTTTATAATTACAATTACCAGGAAGCGAGTGGAAGTACAAAGTACCAGAATATCTATCTCCATACATGTTTATGATATTTTATATGTCAACATTCGACCTGTACAGTACTTAGCCCAGTAGAGCAAAAAGGTACAATTAGCGATTGTCTATGTAAGTATGTTTGACAATGAGCTTACAAGGAAATGAAATGAAAAAGAAAATGTTTATATTTCCTAAAGCGAATTGCCTGTTATTTTGAAATGCTGCACACAATTTTGTATGATCATATTCAATGTAACTTTTTATCATGTTTTGTATTCATTTTCTTTTACAGCATTTTGCTATTGCCAGTCAGCAAATGTACACACAGTGTGGTTATTGTGGTCAGGGCCGTTCATTATTGAGTAGAAACCTCATTGTGATTTCACGGGTCATTAACTTTATGGCCCTATAGGGAGGGGGGCTGTTTGAAATCTAACATGCAAAATGGCCTTGCAAAGGTACAATACCATGCATATATCTTGTAAGTAAAATCAAGGAGCTTTCATCAAGGAGCTGTGATGAAAGCTCCTTGGTAAAATAAGCAACCTATTCATTTCAGGGCTCGAAATCCTTTTTTCTGCAAACCAACACTGGTGCACATAATGTTAAAAATTACCTGCACTGGTCAGAGAAATTTTACCTGCGCAACTTAGAATTTAGGAAGTATGGATCATACTAAAACTAATGCCATTACAATGTATTTCTTTTCTGATTATAGTTTCTTATAGTTTCTTTCATGTTAAATGTACATATTAAAATGTACATGTAACATCACATAATACGTATCTACATGAACTAGGAACTCCGATCCGTTGCACATCTGAGTGAAGCAGACTTTCAAAAATAGCCTGTACAAAACGTCACAAAGCTCTGAGGGTATCATATCAGACCTACACCAGTCATATACGGCAGGGAGAACCCTAGATCGCCTGGTGTGACCTTAGGATTGAAAATTACCTGCACCAGACAGTCACAAATTTTATACCTGCACCTCTCACAATATAGGACGTATGGATCATACTAAAAACTAGTACTGTTCTGATACCATTGCCATTACAATATATTTCTTCTCTCATTATCATCTATATCAGCCAAGCTATTTCTTTTTGTAAAATGTACATATTTCTTTGTACATCGATGTAACGTTACATAATACATATCTAACATGAAGGATAGAAACTCTGTTGCATCTCTGAGGCACTGCTCTGACTTTCAAAAATAGCCCGTACAAAACGTCACAAAGCTCTGAGGATATCGTATCAAACCCACAGCGGTCATATATGGCAAGTCGTACCCCTTGCCTGGTGTGACCTTGTCATGGTCTAACCAACCAAACCATACGGACTATAACAGCTGTATCAATGTACGATTGTATCGCCAGTATGGATGGTTTGGGTGAGTATGTCCCGGTATTCTGTCCAGTCGAGATTTTATTACAAAGGTCCAAATTCTAGCAACGATCTTTGGTATTATTTGCCTATTTCCCTGGACACTTTATCTGAGTGACTGTCTCTGAAAATAGACCATTCGCTGATAGTGATAATCGTAATACCTTTCGAAATGCAGTGTATTTGTTAACGATCGTTCGATTTAGGAGGTATTGTTAATGTCCAGCTCAGATTTTATTACAAAGGTTACGGATTCTTGCACCGATCTTTGGTATTATTTGTCTATTTCCCTGGACACTTTATCTGAGTGACTGTCACTGAAAATAGAACGAACGTTTGCTGATGATCATGATAATGCCTTTCGAAATTCTGTATATTTAACGATCATTTGATTTAGGCGATATATATGAGCTACTATAGCTTCTAATTGCAGATATGATCGTATAAGTGTGATAGATGTATTCTAACAGTTAGGAGAGTACAGATATTTTCTATGTACAGAATGATATGGGGGATATAGCAATGGCTTCAGCCTAGCATACCTACACGTTCAGGGGTTGTGCACTGTTCTATTTTTGATAATGACAGATTAATTAATGGATTCTACATACCGCATATCAGTTCCAAGGCTATTACTTCTATTTGCTATAGTAATGAGGCTAGAATAAATTTAACCTTACTTATTATGTATAATGACATATCATTGTTCTATTAGTATGATATGATATGTGGTGCAAAACCCCCCTCCCCCTTTGTTTGACCTCTATTTTGACCTTGGTATGTGATAAAATGGCGGACCAAGAAGAACTGGTTCTTAGCAATACATGTATATGCTTAAACTTGTCCACACTTTTTAGAATTTTGCTTGAAGAAAGTTCATTGAAAGCATTAATGCAATTAAATTCCATTCAGTAATTGTGCTAAAATTAGTAGTAAAAAATTGACATGATTTATAAGTAACACATTTATTAGAAAATGTCATTTCTAAAATAATTCCTACTTTTCTAAAAGCTTGAATTATCCATTTAAAATAAAATGAAGGAATCTGTCGTCTAATGAGCTAGATATGGCACCATGCTATTTTTAGCTAGGCTTATTTTTGTATAGCCCTTTACTTTAGTAGTAGGCTCGGTCAAGTAAGAACAAGAACAAGTTGAAAACCTTAAGCTTCCATACTGCCATTATTATTTTACCAAGTGTCTATTGCATTTTCAAAAATAATTGACTCAAGCACTGACGTTTCTGACTTATAGGAAAAAGAGAGGTGTCTTTTGACTCTGCACTGGGCAAAGTCTTATCAATTTTAGATAAAGATCTTTCAAATCTCATTCGAGTCATTTAAACTGCAATGTGTCACATATCCAAGTATAATGTAGGCCAAGGCTTTAGCCCCCAGAGCTTTTGTTATCTTTATGGATATCAGACTTACATGTACTAGGGTAACTACAAAATTGTACTTGTACACATATTCAACCTCATGTACATATTTTTATGCCAAATTTGCTGCCTAGCTTGTCCTTGCAATATTACAAAGTTGGTAATATACGTAAAGATTTTCATTCTAATTCTATGCTGCAATGTATCACTCACTCACTAATAATTAGTAATATGATATAGCGGAAGGTTTGGGCCTGTAGGGCTTTTCTTATCTTTGGGAAACATCAGACTTAAAAAGTTACAATTATTTGTGCACGTATTCAACCATATTTACATATTTTTATGCCAAATTTGCCTTTTCTTTGTTCGTATATAATTGTTTTAGACAATGTCTGGATACCTATCTAGAACAAACAACAAAAATGCCAACAGGTCAGACATTAGGTATACAGTGTGCCACATGTGCAGGGAAATCTGGGTCACAGAAATGCACAGTGTGCCAGAAAACCACAAGGGTCATTGACTCCTACTAGGGCCTAGGGAAAAAGTGTTGTGTTTCCTGTTTCAGTCCTGAAGAAATTAGGGTCAGTCCTGAAGAAATTAGGGTCGGTAGGTAGGGATTATCTTTTTTTTTTTTACTTCAGTGATATCTATAGGGGAGTCCAACTTATACAATACAGTTTAACAAAGTAAAACTTGCATGATGACACTTTTATTTTCAATGTCAATGTCGGAAAACCGATTGTACAACGTTTTATCACTCAGGTGTCAGATTATGGAGTTAGGAAAGGTTGATCAGCTCCTCCGTTGCAGGGGTCCACCCCCCCCCAAAAAAAGTCGGCAGGTTTTTCTAGGGTTGGTCGGGAAACAGTCTGGGCCTAGGAAAATAAATGTTGTGTTTCCTGTTTCCCAACCGACCCTAGGAAAACCTGCCGACTTTAGACTTTTTTTGGGGTGGAGCCCTGCAAGGGACAATTTTTTGAGCTGATCAACCTTTTCTAGCTCCATGATCTGACACCTGAGTGATGAAACATTGTAGAATTGGTTTTCTAACATTGACATTGAAAATACAAGTGTCTTCATGAAAGTTTTACTTTGTTAAACACGTATTGTATAAGTTTGTCCCCTATATAGATGTCACTGAAGTCTAAAAAGAAAAAAAGAAAAAAAAAAAGGTAATTCCTATCTACCGACTTTTTCAGGACTGAAACAGGAAACACAACGTTGTATTCCCTAGGCCTCACACAAATGCACAATGTGCCAGAAAACCACAGGCATTACAGACAAAGGTCGTTGACTTTTTGTAGCACCATGGATTATTCTATTTATATTGGAGGGGGGATTCTAATTTTCTTTCCAGTGGGAGGTCTACGTATGGATTTCCTTGCAAATTGATAAGACATGTTAGAGCCTTAATAGAGGACTAAGAACTTAGGGTATCACATAAGTCTATCTTTTAAGTAGATTTTGATTGCAGATAATATTGATCGAATGATGATTAATGATGATTTATATCATATAATATCTATGTAGTAAAGCAGTGGCTTTTCAAGATTGAATCTCAGCTCTGAAATGAAGGAGGCCAAAGAGGAGAAGCACAAATTGTTTTGATGTTTGTGATGTGATGAGTTTGAACTCTCACAGCAAGCTACGATCTTTAGGTTTGTATCATGATGTATGAATACTTCACGATTATCTGTATCTGTATAGTCAGTATAACCGCCTTTCAGTACAAGTGTAAGTCACCTGCTTCGCAGGCACGCAGTGTGGCGGCAGCTGGCTTTATTTCACCGAACGACCTTTGCTATCTAGCGATGATGCCCCAACTGTACTTGGTGGCAGCGAGCTCCGCTCTACAATGTTTTTTGTCATTTTGTACATTAACATTGCCTGTTTCCTTTCCACTTTCCAGCAGTGTCCAATGGTACTAAGAAGGAGACCAAGAATGAAAAGCCGTCAGCCTTCCTGGTGTGGATGTTGGTGGTGGCAGTAGTAGCCGTGTGGGGGACTGTTGTGGTGGTCAAACTGGAACTGGTCGACTACAAGGGCATTATTGGTCAGTCTTGTTTGTTTGTTTATTTGTTATGGTGTGGATGTGGTGGTAAAATATTTCAAAGAAAAGATTTGTTTGACACAGAACAATGGTCAAATTTGGCCCCAAAAGTGTTTATGGATTATCATTTAAGACCATACAAGTCACAAAGTCAATGCCATATATTATACCAAAAGGCTATGCTAATTCAGTGTTCAAGAATTGTATCATTCATTTAATGTACCTGTTTGCACCAAACTCAAAACAGGAAAGATGGTAACCTTTGACTTAACTTCATAAGTGTCTCCAACATGCCTAGCAATTTTGCAATGAGGCCATGTTTCGTAATGTGTTCTCGTTGCAAAAGCGCAACTTTCAGTCGGAAGAAGTTTGATAGACACCGAAATGTAAGCAGTTGCAAGTCTGTACTGGTTGTGTAAATGAAAAGTAACTAACTATCTCTGCGTTTTTCCTCCACTGAAACAGCCAGAATAACAGAGCGTGGTTTGGAGCCTGACATCTCGTACGGTGAACCACCGGTGGCAGAGAAACTGCCCGAGGAGGAACTCAAGAAAGCAGAAGAAAGCATACCTGAAGCCAAGAAGGAAGGTAAGACGTAACATAAAACATCTTTAATTTGGAATGAAAGATTTATTCATTAAAACACAAAGCGGCCATAGGCTGAATTGCGTGTTTCATTACACATAATAGATTAAAAAGTACACATAAAAAGTACATACTTAAACACATTAAACGCAAGTAAAAGGACACGATTCTTAAAACCTAATTTCACCCTATATGTCCAGACAACAAAATATCCAAACTGGACGTTTGGCCGCAGTACCTTAACAAGCTGCCAGAGGGCCCAAAATCCAACCATTTCGATGTGTCATCAAGACCTACCCACACACCAAATATCAACATTGAAGACAATCCATTGAAGCCTTCTTGAGTTACCATGTTTTACAGACAGACAGACACTATCTTACTGCTCCTCCTCTGAGCTTGAATCTGAAATGGGAGCTAACTTCAAAATCTTTAACAAGTACAACAACAAAGATTTTATTATTATTTTTCTGATGCTTAGAACTGATGCCAAGAATATCCTGCATATTACATTTTGTATCATAAATTTTGATATGAACTAAAATACCTACAAAAATATTTGGGTGCACCAGTGCGCCCACAGAAAAAAATTGGGTGCACAGCTCCAATTTTGGGTGCACTTTAAGGTGCACATGCACCCAGTATTTCAAGCCCTGTGTTAGGTTTTTAAATTAGGCTTGTCACCCATTCTGTAGCTTGAAAGCTTGTTCAACACTGGATCAGACGGTCAGAGTGTAAAACAAACTGACCCAGATTTTGCTATCTGCTCTGCTGGTTAAAAACAGCCCCTAGCTTCAGCCTTGTTTTCTACACCTGTGGGTGACCTAGTTGCAACTGGACAGGAAGTATTATACTTACTGTAGAATGCACTTAATTTTGCAGAGATTATATTTTGTTATAGTGTTTTTTGCTAGCCTCCATAGCATGCCAAAAACTGCGGGTTTTGGGGGTCTTCGGGGTCTTTGGAAGCTTTTATGTGCTATTTTCTGATTGTATATAGACAACATAGCCGGCCTGGTTAAATTACCCCCGTTTTTTAGAACTGGGCTAATCAGAAATCAGCCGAAGACCACCAAACCCCCAGTTCTATAAGCCTGCTACGGAGGCTAGGTTTTGCACTGTTTTGAATTTGCATTTGAAACAATTCTGTAGTCCAGTAAAAGTTAGAGGGATCCTGGGCCCTACTAGTGTTTGGGTAGGCGTCAGGAAGGGCATCCAGTAGTAAAAAACTTTGCTCCAAAAATGACTTGCACTTGATGCAAGCACATCTATTTCCCGGTTTCCGGGGAAAAATGACGTTAAAATTGAATAAGAAGAAGAAGAGGAAGTTGTAACACATTTTTTAATGTACAGTGTTGTGAATTTCCAGTGGAGAGGGCACTGTAAAAACATTGAATAGAAAACTACCGCAAAAGTTTCTGCATGTACAGTACTTAGCCAATTCCTTACCTGTCTAAGGCTTGTTCAGTAGAACAGAGGTACATTGTATTGTCAGTGAGTGAGTTTATATTTAGACAGTTCTGTTCCTGATTTTGAGACATTTGCATCCGTCTTGCTGTGGGCTAGATATTTCATTCCTCTGACCTAGTTTGAAGAGCCTTAAGGCTTTGGAGTTTGCAAAGGCTAGGTAATGCTTGCACAGTCTTGCAGTTTTGCAGTTGCACTGTATAGTCACATGTACACTAGTGGTGGCTGCCAGTTATGACACCATATATTACTATACTAGTATAGCATTGATACATGTATATAGCATTGAGTCTCACATGAGGTATTAAAGTCATACATGTACATGTATCATGTAGGTATAGTTGAAGAAAACCCATTTTACCCACCTCCAATCCAAACAACTTTCTACATCAGTTCTACATTGTCCACCATGTACTCTTTTCTCTGTCATTCTGTTTTGTCCTCTGTTCTTTCTTTTCTTCCTTCATTCCTTACCTCTCCTTTCCACCTCCTGTAGCCAAGAAAGTCAAGATAAAACTACCGCAAACTAAGGAAGAGAAACCTGCAAAGACGGAACCGTCTAAGAAAGAAGAAGGTACAAGTTGTTAGAGTAGAATGTCTTGGAGTTTGACTAGCACGGTATCCATTCTGATCTAGCATGGATTCCTCCTTAGAGATTTATACTAATGTGCATTGCACACTTGGTAGTCCTTTGCAGTTGTACGTATGGTTGATGTTCTGCTTGTGTTGCAAAGTTTGATGAAATCAAGTTGAAGTGTACTTGTATACGATCATATGACTTTTCAGTACAAAACCTTGCATTTCATGGCTTGAAAAAGTTGAAGCATGTTTAACTGTTAGTGTGGTGGTCATGGTGTCATGGTGTGGTGTGCATTTTGAAGGCATGAAGAAATTAAATAACAGTAAATTCACATACATGTAGATTTAAATTGTACAATGCCCGAGACGTGTGAGACATAGATCAACATCTTGGCCCGTAAAACAAAGATTTCTTCTGTCTTCTTTATCTTTTATTTGTGTCTGTCTATCCGTCCGTCTGTCTGTCTGGAAACAAAATAAAACAAAACACAAAAACAACAAAATATATCAGCTCCTAAGAAGGAACCACCCGCTCCGAAAGAAGTAAAGAAAGAAAAAGAAGTTCCCAAGAAGACGACCACTCCTAAAGAAGAGACCGCTGCCAAGGAGGTAAAGGAAGAAAAGCCTGCTCCAAAGGAGAAACCAGCTCCAAAAGAGGCCGAACCTCCTACGAAGAAAGAAAAACCTGCTCCCAAAGAACCAAAAGAAGCTGCGAAACCAGCACCCAAGGAGGAAAAACCTCCAACCAAAGAGGAGAAAGCTGCACCTAAAGAAGTGAAAGAGAAGGCACCAACTGAAGAAAAACCTCCTAAACCGTCTCCTAAAGAACCAAAAGAGAAACCTGCCCAAAAAGCTACTGTCAAAGAAGAAAAACCTCCCGCGAAGGAAAAACCAGCCGCCAAAGAGGTGAAGGAAAAGCCAACCGCTATACCTGCTGTGAAAGCAGCGGAACCACAAGTGAAGAAAAAGCTGGAGAAACCCGCAAAAGAACCTGCTGCCAAGAAAGAAGATGCCAAACCACCAAAAAAGGTGGAAGCAAAACCTTCAGCTAAACCTGAAGCCCCAAAAATTGTAAAAACTGAAAAGGCTGCAAAGCCTGCTCCAGAGAAGAAAATCGCGAAACCAGAAGCGAAGAAACCCGTCGAGGTAGCAAAAAGACCGCCGCGCGCAAAGCATGTCCCGCTGAAAAGGATTCCACCCGTAGAAAAGAAGGTAGAAGCACCGAAAGAGAAACCTAAAGTTGAAGAAAAACCCGTTGAGGCAAAACCAGCGAAACATAGACATGTTCCGCTGAAGAGAATAGAACCAACAACACCCGAAAAAGTCGCAGAAAAGCCGAAAGCTGTGAAAGAACCACCGAAGAAAGAAGAAGTTAAGGCCGCAAAAGAAGAACCCACAAAACCATCAAAGCACAGGCATGTGCCGCTGAAGAGAATAGAGCCTGAAAAACCTAAAGAAGCTGTGAAAGAACCTCCGAAAAAAGCTAAAGAAGCTGTGAAACAACCTCCAAAAGAAGACGTAAAAGTGGCACAAAAAGAACCTGTGAAAAAAGCCAAACCAACAGAAAAGCACAGACATATGCCTCTGAAGAGAATAGCGCCAGCAACACCTGAAAAGGTCGAAAAACCCGCCAAAGAGCCACCAAAAGAAGCTAAAACACCAAAAGAAGCTAAACCTGCACCAGAAAAAACTGCGAAAGACACTAAACCAGTGGAGAAACATAGACACATGCCTCTTAAAAGAATAGAGCCAACACCGAAGAAAGAAAAGGAAGAACCAAAAGCCATAGAAGAACCGCCCAAAGCCGAAACACCACCAGAAAAGAAGGCTCCTTCCTACAAGTTGAAGCCCAAACGTGTCCCTATCTCCAAAGAACCACCTTACAAGCTCAAACCCAAGAAACTTGCAGGAGAGAAGCCCAAGAAAGTAAAGAAAGTCAAACCGGTTATGATTAAGAAAGTTGTAGCTGAACCTAAGAAGATCGCCAAGGCTGTCAAACCGCCTCCACCCCAAGCCAAGCCACGAGCCAAGAAAGTTAGTTTAGAGCAGTATTCCAAGAACAAGCAAGAAGGTACTGGCTGAAGTGTGTCAAGCTGTGGTTTTGTGTGCTGTGTTACTAACAGCACGAAACATGGTATGGTCACTGCACGTACATGTACATTCAAGCATGGTGTACAATATTGTAGATGCTGCTACACTGTAGTGCCTACATGTAGTTATGCTGCTAGTCAAGAAAGATGAATATTGTAGTGCCTGTAAAGAACAATAGCTAGTGTACACTGATTTGAGTTCACACTAGAGCATTTTTGTGCTTTTTGGATCTGGCTTTGATTATAATATATATTATTAATCATGCATGTAGGATGGAAGTGCATTTTTATTGTGCTTTTCATTTTGAATTATAGCCTCAAAGCTGATATGTTTGCAAAAGTTTTGTTTGGGTTGGATGCATGTTCATTCTTGTTAACTTTTGCCTCAAAGTATTATTATATATAGTTGTGCTAGTTTTCAAAATATCAAGTGTGTGTTACTGTAACATACATGTAATGAGCACTTGCCAATGTTAGTACTTTTTAGTGCCCCCTTTATACTTATAGATAATTTTTTCATTGACAAAAATCAGAAATACTGACTACTGTATATAGTTCAGTTCACATGGACCAATATTTGTTTGCTTGTCTTACTCTTAGTAATTAGATGGGATTCTTGCCTCTTTCCTTTTCCAATGGATAAGCTCTAGATACGTCAAAAGTACAACATACAGTGCCTTCAACCTCGGAGGTCAAAAGTCAAGATTCAGGGAAGGAAAATGTAGAGCAGGAATGTAAGACTTCTGAACTCTCTTGCCATTATGTAGTCCTGTAGTTCTAGTCATGCATTTTAGCATTAGCAAATCATTATTTATCACCCTAAGCTTTAAAAGCTGCTTGTAACAGGAGCTGCCACCATAGTGCTTTCCAGTACTAGTACTGGTAGTATGTAGTTGTATGGCCAGGCGTTTAGGTTTTTGGTGTCTAATTGTTCATGATACATTGTACATAAGTTAATATCAAACGTAGATGGAAGGGAATTAATGCTACTTCTCAGCATGATTTGTATAATGTTGGATCATTTAGAAAAATTTTTTTTTACGGATACAAATCATAGTCATTTACTATGAACAAGATTGAACTGTAATTGCCAACATAACAAAATTGGACTCACCCAAATTTTTGACTGTATATATAACTCCAGTCTTTGTCAAGGAATGAGTACAGTCGAAAATTTGGGTGAGGTCAATTTTGTTGTGTTGGCAATCACAGTTCAATCTTGTTCATAATGACTTCTACCAACACATGAACTTTTAAGATAACATAGTCTTTACAGCATGCATCATCTCTATCATTTATCATAACAAAACATTGTCAAGATATCTGATTCAGAAATGAAGATTTGATTGAACATTGTACATGACACCTTCTTACATGCACCTCTATGCACAGTAATATTTTTGTACTTGTACATGACACCTTCTTACATGCACCCACAGCCTCTCTCTTTCACGTCACCATCCCTATTAACATCCACCTACAGCCAGTTGTCAAGAACTGTAAGTTGGGAAAGACACTATATGTATATACAGTTTGTATGTACCTGCCCTATACATGTTGGTCTGTATCTGTCTAGCCAACCCCACTAAAAGTTAGTAGAATGTGCACCACCCTTCCCCATAGCACACAAGCTTTGCACTCACACACAGTAGCAGTGGTTGTTCTATCTATTTCTGTTCTGTCTTAGGTTTGGACTTAATGAGGAGTCTTAACAATGTCTTTTCATGTACATGTAGCTGCCGTAATAAATCAAATACAATGTCCTAGGTATAGGAATGGCCACTGATCAGTGATATTATTCATATAACCTCTGCTCATATTTTAGGGTGCTTAGATTAATCATTCAAGGTTACTTATGAAGCCAAGATGCATTTGTTTGTCATTTTGTCTGTTGATAATCATGTACGGATATGTACTTCTAGTGAGTTCTACATTAATTCATGTGCTTTTATTTTTGGTAGTGCTTTAATTGAATTATAATGGCTGTACATTGTAGTTCAGTCTTTACTGCATACTAGCTAGCTCAGTGCCTGTCTTTATCTTCCATCATCTTTAGACATTGATCAATTATATGACTGACATAGACAGCACAATGTATTGTAATAGCTACTTTCCCTTTGCCTGGTTAGCACTAGACAAGACTGCCGTCCCTCCTGAAGCCCAGGGTGTAGTACTTCCTCTGAATGTCTCCCTGTTGCAGGATGAACTGTCAGTCCAGAAAAGTAAGACTTGCAGGCTGCATGAGCAACTTCGGTGTCATCTGTGTTGTCCCTAGTTCAGCTGTCCATGTGTAGTATCTGTAGGGTGAAATTGTTGTTCATGCCATAATGTGTTAATGTCCGAGTGTTTTCAAGTTGGTATACTCAATAGGGGTTATATCAATTATCATTCTCAATAGGGGGTTCATCATCCTCATTTACACTGTCTTGGTTAGTCTGTAGATGTTGTTCTCCATTGTAGTCATGCACGTTTCTAGGCATTTGATTGAAAGATTCTAGTTTTGACTACTGGTACCATGGTGGCTTTTAGTTATGGACAGTGTACCACACATGTACAGGAGTTTAACTTTTTACGGGCTTTGATCACCAAACATGCTTCTTGTTGTTTGGTCTGGAGTTACGTATATGGCATTGTATTCTCATAGTCATACTGTAGTCCTAGTGGGTCACAAACATACATTTTTGTAAATTGTACACTGGCACTACAAAGTGTTGTTTTGTCATTGTGGTGTTGAGTTTGCTTGATATCTACTACTGGTAACGTTAGCAATAATGCACTCAAAAAGTACATGATTGTAGTTAAAAATGTGATGATGATTAACAGTGTATGTGCCATTTTTTTTACTAAATGTTTAACATGTTGGTTTCTGGACATTGATACGTAGTAGCAGTATACATACTCGTTCAAATAATCATATAACTGTATGTACAGTTCTGTTTATGTATAATAGATCTGTACTGTAGGGAAACTTTGTGAATCAACTGTGTAGCATAGGCACAGTGTATGAAAAAAAGTTTGATATATAGTGCCACATTTGCCAAATATTTACAGTTCAAACCTTAATCTTTGTTAGATTATGATGTAATTACAAAACTGGTGAGTGTCACTAGTACATGTATGTCCACACCAGAGGTATAGATACAGAAGACAATCTATACATGGCTTGATAAAAGTTATTCACAAGATTTCTTCATATTATAATTATAGTATATATTTCATTAACTTTTGAGATATATTATCATCATAGTTACTAAGTATTAACACTTTTTTTCTGTTCTTTTCAGCAGCACCGCCAGCAGAAGAGAAAGGTAAGTGCCGTCAACATTTGTAATTTTCAAGAAAAAAAACCCTACAAACTAACCAGAACTGTACTACATGTACATACAAGTCATTTATACCAACTTCCTGACTCAAGACTGTCCCTCTCATGCTGTCTCTCAGCCATTCTTTCATTCCTTCATTCCTCAATTCCTCATGTTACATGTTTTTCCTTGTCTACATTCATTGTTCAAAAAGGAACCTGATAATTTTAAAGTCTACAATATAGATCAGTCCTTCTAAAGAACAGATTTAGAAGGCAGACTCGTCTTAGTAAAATGCTTTGAACTTTCAAGAGGATTTTATATTTTTATATTTTCTGTTATATTTAGTTCAAAACAAGTGTGAGAGAATCTTTAAAAAGTGAATGTTACATATTAGGATACCGAACTACAGATTTGAAAATTAAGGTCTCACCTACATGATTATTCAGTCAACTAAACTGTACATACATTTAATAAGGTATAATAATATAACGTAAGGTATAATTAAACAGATTTTTAACCATTAACTTGTGTTTGCAGAATGTATATTTAACATCATCATATAATTTGTTTGTGTGTTCTGAAAACAGAGACAACAACAAAAAAGAAAGACAGAAAGAGACAAAGTAAGGCATGATAAATAATAGTCTAGAACCAGTTTTCAATATTAACAACAAGACAGAGTTTTTGTGGTGAACTATAGCTTTTACTATTTGTTCTATGTGTATAGAATAAACTGAATTGACAAGCTACATATTGTGCATATGATGCTGCACTTTTATTGCATCCTTTTAAAATTTTCATTGCTGCTTGCAAGTAAAACTTCCCAATACAACATAGTTTCTCAATGATCAATTTATTGTTATTGTAGTTAAATTCAAAGGGACTGAGTCTTGCATTGGTCTAACTTGATTGCTTACCTTTCCTCTTTTAATGGAGTCTTGCACATCTGCAAACAATTATACATCCAGTAACTCCAGAGTGAATGTGGTGTGATTTTTGTATGTGGAATTTTGGAGAGTTCGTAGACAACTCCATACTTTGAATAAAACATTGCTTTTTTGCGGTACCTGAAATTTGAGTGGCAATGCTATGGGTTTGCAAAAGCAAAACCTGTGCAGTTTTGACATTGCCGCTGCATGGACCAAGCATGTACAAGCTGCATGCAGTGAGATTTGGAGTGCTGCATTTTGGGAACTCAACTATTTCTATGGAATCCGCATTTCTCCGGAGCTGCTGTGCCAAGATCCTTTTTCAACCAACAGGAGCATGAGGCAACCTCTGACCCCTGACCTCCAAACCTCGAGGCAACCTGTGAACCCTGACCTCCAACCCTTGAGACGACCTCTGACCCTGACCTTCACCAACCCTTGACTGATACCAGAGGACACTCCAAGGGTGGCTCCTGTGAAAGGACGCTTGACGTCAGGATGGTTAAATGCATCTGGTTTGACACGACCTTGACCTTGGTCCTTTGATCCTTGACCTTTAACCCTTGACCTTGGTCCCTTGACCTTGGTATGACCTAGGAACAGTTACAGCGACTTTGTTTATATCCTGCTTCCAATAGCATGGGCATTGCCCCTACAAAGGTACATGTATATTGTCTCCAGTCTACATATCTGTTTTTTTATTGTCTTGAAGTTCATAGTGTTGAATCTGGTAGCTTACCTGATCTCAAACAATCAGTCAATCTCATTTAAAACAAACAGAAGGTACAAAAATATGTAATGTAATTGTATGGTTTATCAGTTTTTCTCAACATTGTAAATATATAACACTAGTAGGCAGCTATTGGACTGAAAGCAGCAAGAACAAAATGTAAGTAAAAAGACAAATCATGTAAAATACCTAGACTAGAAATATATTTATGTTTTTGACAATATAGAAAATACAACAAAATTCAGACTCAGAGACTAAAATCAGTAAATTTTGTATGTACATTCAAGTGTGAAACTAGCTTGTTAGAGGAGCTCAAATACATCAATCCATTTGTAGTTTTAAGATTAAACGATCTAAAACTTCAAATTAAGAATTAAGATTGTCTGTCTCATCCTTAATTTCAGAAACACACAGCAGTTCACATCTCTTGTGTTTATAGGCTATTGGCTGTTAATTTGAAACTGTGGTAAAACAAGTAGAAGTTTGGGCTGGGTAGGTTGATACATTTTAGAGTATAGATCTTGTAAATAGTTCAGAAAGGAGGGATAGTGGGAAAGGTATTATACTTCTGGAGAATCTTTGAAACTACAATGGATGAGTGGCATAGGGGTAGATGGAAAGAAAGAAAATGTAAAAATGAAGAAAGGAATAAGAAACAGACCTCTGGTGTCTCATCACAAGAACTAATAGCAAGAAAAAAATAGGAAAAGTTGAGAAATATTGTGAAGGTATTGTAAGAGAAGAAAAGACAGCCAAGAAGATTAAGAAAGTCTCTCATAGCTGTTAACTGTTTTCCTACATTCATGATATGTTTCATTTTGTTGGGAATACAATTTGTCATTATAATTAATAGTACATTCATGTACATCATGTGTTTCTAGCCTTTTTTTACTGATTCAGAAACAAAACTGGGCATAAAAGTTTTAGTAATTATTCTACAAAATGGTGCTACCACATGTCTTTGTAAGGACTCAATTAGCAACACTCATTAGGTATGTGTACAACTGTACATAGTAATTAGTAATATAGTATACACCAAGGCTGTTTCAAGCTGGATTTTTATCATGCTTACCATCTGCAACCCTCTACAGGCACAGTCAGCCTGTTGTGTTGCATTGGAAGCACAGGACAACCAACCAAAGACTTTACAATGTATCCCTGTCCTTTTTTGTTGTAGCTGAGATAAATACAAATACAAAAGGATTTTTAATTGCATCTGTCTGATCTAAAAGGTGGATTTTCATTGCAAATAAAGATGAAGAAGAAAGCCTTGTAACAACGTCAATGATTTTGTTTCATTTGTCTGGTATTTTTTAGACTACCTGAACAATGGCAGTTCTACAATACTATACGTTGATTATTCCAATACTCAATAAATGGTATGTGTGTGCATACTAACTTCTATATAAGACATACAGGTAGTGAACATATTTTTCTTTTAAACCTCTATATTACTTAACACTTTAATAACACAAATAAGCAGCTTCAACATATTTGATGAATACTACATGAACATAATCAGTTTGCTACAGAGGAATAAAAACAATGTCATTATCATTGAACCCTGCCCATACCTACCTTAAACCTTCCTGTCCCAGACTTTTTTCACAACGTGAGACAAGAGACTTCTCTTTCTGCACCAAGAATGTACACACAGACACCTCTGGCACCAGTACCCATGGTCTACTAACACTGAAAAATCCTCTCTCTATTTCTGTCCACTCAAAAGTCAAGGTAACTTGTTGCTATATATCTTTTACTAAATCGTCAATTGTATACACTCGGGTAATGATAAAGCACTATTCTGTACTGGACCAATGATGATGATGTTCTGCATTGTACAATCTTTTGCATCAAGCCTTTGAGAAATAATGCTTTGCTATGCATATCTACATGTATTATACTTGACATGTATATATTAAGAAAAGCATTAGAGGTAATTATGTACTTGTAGGTACTAGATGTTAAGTGACTGCCCAACTTGCATACATGTAAATTATATACACCTCACTGTACTACCAACACCTTGAGTCCTTCTACCAATTTCATTTTTCCTCTTGATGAATTTACTGTCAATGATGGTAGCAAGTATCAAGACTTTAAGACGAGTTGTATTTTCTCCCGACCCTTTTATATAATTAGTAGAAGAAACAGCAGAACAAGAAATCGAAGAACCTGAAGCTGATCCTGGTAAATTTCTCATACTTGGCAATTTTGCCTTCTTATTTAGTAGTAGATTTCAACATGTTTCTTAGTAAAGAAACTTTTCTATCAATGCATTTAATGAATGGGAAGTTACAGCATGTTAGACCTCTCCTTGGTGCTGAATTATGGATAGTTATTGCTAAGTTCACTTCCATTTGAAAACATTGCATTTATATACCCAAATCAGTTTGGAAAGAATGCCTATAGCATCAGATGTATGTATAATGAATTTCCAGAGGTAATAAGTAAGGATATTAGCACAGGGAAATATGTGCAATACATGTGTGTCAAGTGACAGTCACCTCCAATTGCAAGAGTTGGAGTAGCTGGTAGCTTGTTCACTTGATATCTTTGAGTACCACAGTCGTAATCTTGTGCAATATGTGATATGTTGTGAAGTTAAGGGATAAAATCCTGGCCATTGTCACTATTGGACCCATTGCTTGTGCCATACAATGTACTTCCACGTGACTTAGGCTTCGGGTTATTTCAACTTGAGAAGGATGAAAGCTTTTATTTAAGCAAGCTATTTATCCTTGTATACGGTTATGAGTTTTAAGTGTTTATAATAAGATCTGTGATGACTTCTATTCCAAAGCAGAGCCAGCAATAGCAGAAGAGGAGACAGAACCTGAACCAGAACCAGTGGAAGCAGCTTCAGAAGCTCCTGAGGAAACACAAGAAGTGGAAGAACCTGTGGCAGCTGAAGAAGTGGCAGTCGTCCCTGAGGTCCCTCAAGAAGAAGATACAGAGGCAGATGCTCCAGCAGAAGAGCAGGCAGTGGCTGAAGAGCCTGAAGAAACTGTTGAAGAGCCAGAAGTAGCTGCAGAAGAACAAGAAGTTGTAGAAGAACCTGCACAAGAAGTTGTAGAAGAACCAGAGGTTGCTCAAGAAGTTGAGGAAGAACCACAAGAAGTTGTAGAGGAACCAGAGATTGCTCAAGAAGTTGAAGAGGAACCTGTGCCAGAGGTTGCAGAAGAACCTGCTCAAGAAACTGAAGAAGAACCAGAAATTGCCCAAGAAGTTGTAGAAGAGCCAGAGGCTTCACAAGAAGTAGTAGAAGAGCAAGAAGCTCCAGTAGAAACTGCTCAGGAAGTTGTTGAAGAACCAGAGCAAGCTGCAGAAGAACCAGAAGTTGC